GTGAGTTCTGGCAAGCTTGAAGGTTTCCTTTTGCTACTTTCTAGATCACTCTGACAAGAAGCAGCTTCTGGTGCTCCAACAAAGGGCTGATCCTTCAGCCTATGAGGACTGTGGTTTGTCTAACGTGATACAGACCTATGTTATTGTAAGATCAATAAGTACACAGACGTTGTAAAGTATTTGATGATCAGTAAGTATGCAGAGCAATTAGGCTTAGTAAGATTATCATGTTGGAAAAGATAATCAAAGATAAGTGGAAAGTACTCACACGGCTTGCAAACAACTCCCCAAGGAGGAATCTCTAGAGAGAGATCCTTCCTTAGTGGCTGTCAGCCCTTAAATGGGATCTAGGAGAGGTAGAGCCAGGCTCCAGCCCTTCCGATCACACAGTTGAATTGCCTTCACCTGTGCTCCTGCAGCTGACTCAGTGCTTGCCTCAGGTGGTCAGTCAGAGGTTCAGACTGTGACCCAACAGTTCCATTACAGTTATCTTCTTCTTTTCTTCCTTGTTCATTTTAGGCATGTGTCAAGAGACAGTGCAACTGCAGGCTGCTGTGACTCCCATTGCTCTGGTCTCAGGCTTTAGTACAAACTTCGTTGGATCTACACAGAGCATTAACACACTCTGCTGGGCAGGTTAAACAAACCACTCTCTAGAATATGAAACAGGTAATTTTTCTGCAATGCCCTACATTAAATACTTGGCAGTTGAAGTGACAGGAAATAGAAAAAGCTTTGAGATAATTGTAAACCACAATTTATGACTCAAATCAAAGAGAAAACTCAGACCTGTGTTGTGATTTAACCCGGCAGGCAGCTCAGCACCACACAGCCATTTGCTCACTCCACTCACAGTAGGATAGAGGAGAGAATCAGCAAAAACATAAAATTTGTAGTTGAGATAATGACAGTTTAATAGGACTGAGAAGGAAAATAATAATGATGATGATGATGATAGAAGAATATTAAAGGTGAGTGATGCACAGTGCAATTGCTCGCTACCTACTGACAGGTGCCCAGCCAGTCCCCAGGCAGTACCTCCTCCCCACACCTAACCCCCACTTTTATTGTTTAGCATGACATCCCTTCTGCCAGTTTAGGTCAGTTGTCCTTGTTCTGTCCCATTCCAGCTCCCTGTGCACCCTCAGCTCCTTGTTGGTAGGTCAGCGTGAGGAGTTGAAATGTCCTTGGCTCTGTGTAGGTGCTGCTCAGCAACAACTACAACAGTGGTGGGTTATCACCTTTGTTCTCATCCTAAATCCAAAACACAGCATCGGACTGCTACTAGAAAGAAAATTAACTCTCCCAGCCAAGACCATTTCAGTATCCATGCCATCTATGTCATGATCAGATCTCATACTCTCCCATTATCATTCTCTTAGTCTATGGGCTATCTCTCTAAAATGTCCATAGAGTTTATTTAGTCTATAAATTTGAGCTCCCTCCATTACCATGGTCCTTCTGGGCAGGAGATGAGGTGTGTGATGTTGAATTGTTGCATGCTGAAGCCAGTTCTCGTTCCCATTACCACAGTTCTTTGATTGGTTACATAAAAATTGTTTTTTCATTAATTTGGGTGATTCTTGTTGATGAGGCATATAACAAGCACAGAAGTGATGATATACAGTACTGTATAGCAGTTGACATTATGTAATTCAGATTATTGGCTGTTTTCACCCATCATCAAATTTCTTTGAGGTACACACTGGACTTCACCATCCTTTTGCATTACTCATCAAATACACCTATGTCCTTGAGAAAAAGCAATCTCACAAATGGGTTTGCCTTTGCCTGAGGCAGGAGTAATCCAGACTGTCTTGCCCAGAACGTCTTCCACATGTACCACTGGGATTTTTTCTCTTCTGCAGTATGTAGATATTTTAATTGGGCACAGCCAGCTCTACTGACAGATCCCTAAGTGTTATCTAACCAGATAGTTTTTTTGGTAAATGTATACCCCAGTGCTTGAATGTCCCAGCACCCATTGCTCTTAGTGTAGTCTTAAACAGTCTTACCCAGGTTTTTATGAGGTTGTTTTGGAAATGATCTCACTGTTTGACTCAGTTCTTTCTAGGGTGCCATGCCACCACAGGCCTTGCTTTTCAAGGCCCAGGATAGTATTCGGGCAGTGGCAGGGGGGCATGGGATCTGTTTCCAACTGTTTGGTGGCTTTCACCATTGCAAGCACATTGTGCTTGCCGTGGTGAATTTGTGGGAGTGTGGTGTAACCCACCTGCTAGGTTTCCCCATATTTGTATTTCAGCTGCTGTCCTCTGAGCCAAAGAGACTTTATCTTCTTGGCTTGATTAATCACGGCACATATTTTACATTCTTGGATAGCCTGTGCAATAGTGTCTACAGTCAAGTCCATCCCTCAGTTCTGAGCCCATCTATATGTTGATGGCCTTTCTTGATGGCCTGAGGTTTCATGGGCCCACTGAACTGGAAATTATTATGTTGCCAGTCCAGATTTACCTTTAATCCTAGTGGCCCAATCCACCTGCTGTTTGTTTTGATTTTCCTCAGTGGCTCAGCTTTGTGGTACATGGGCATCCATGGGATTTACTTTTACAACTACATTCTCTACCCAGACAGCAATGTCTTTCCACACTGCAGTGGCCTAAACCGGTTTGCCTCTGTGCTGCCAGTTCTTTTGCTTCCATTGCTGTTACCACCCCCAGAGGGCATCTGTCACTATCCATGAGTCAGGTAGAAATCATGGGTTGAGATAAAGACAGTTTAATAGGACAAAAAAGGATGGGAAAATAGTAATAATAAAAAATATGAAAGCAAACAAAATAAAGTGATGTATAATGCAGTTGCTCACCACCTGCTGACAGATACCTAGCCAGCCCCTACTAGGGGAAGAATATTAACTCAGACAAAACCAGGGCAAGCGTTCTGCCAAAGGATTTTCTATAAAACATTAAGAGATTTTGATGCTAAAATAGTGGGTGCTCTTCAAAATAATCAAGAGAAAAGAGGTTGATTACTATTAAGTCTACACTGTTTTCTGGACCACCTTCTGTAGACTGTAACATCTCCAGGACTCTTCCATGAAGATAAGTATGTAGAAGCTGGAAATCTTGAATCGTAGGCTGTACTATTTGTTAGATGCAGACCAAGGAGAAAAAATACAGGGAAAATCAGATAATTTAGAAACTGTAGCCCTTGTCACACCTAACCTGTGCTGTAGAACAAGATGCTTTAGACTGGATGGTGATGGTTCTGCAAAATGCAGTCATGGACATGTTTTGCTAGTTAAACATGACAGAAGCAGTTGTTCGCCAACCCTTCTTTATAGAATAGCAATCTTCCTAGTAAATACAGGAGGAAGAGCATCCCATCCACCCTACGTTGGATGGGGCCCTGGTCAGCCTGAGCTGGTGGGGGAAAGCCCTGCTCATAGCAGGGCTTGGGGCTGGGTGAGCTTTGAGGTTCCTTCCAACCTAAGCCATTCTATGAATTTGGTGATGTGCAGGACAGGGACAGTGGGAAAAACTGCAACACAGGAAGTTTTTCATACATACACAAGGAAGAACTTCTTTACTGTGAGGGTGACAGAGCACTGGAAGAACATGCTCAGAGAAGTTGGGGATTCTCCTTCTCTGGAAGTGTTCAGGAAGCATCTGGATGCTTTCCTGAGTGACTTGCTGTCGGGAACCTGCTTTAGCAGAGGGGTTGGAGTATTTCTGAAGAAATTTCAATGGGCGTCCATTAAGGGAATGGCTTGTGTGAAGGGTTTCTGGATGTACATATGCTGGGAGTCTTGCTACAGAGCAATGGCAGATCCTTGAGCAGCATCATGAAAGCTGGTAACAGGAGCTAACCCATTCTGAGGCTGTTTCCTTGTTCTTAGAACATCATATGTAGAAATGTGTTTATATGTGCATGTTTTTTATTATAGCTAAACTCTCACGCAAGTTTACATGTATATTCATTTAAAACAGTTACTGAGATGATCGTAAGACTACTGTATGCTATGCATAGTTGAAAAAATACAGATCTGAGAAGTATTCAATGTAAAGATAATTTAAATGCAAATATCAGAGGAAACATGAATTTGGTAGGTATTTTCAAAAATGCTTATTGAATCTTTAAAAAAACATACATTTCACTGTGGAAGGAATTTCAGCAAATTAGGACTCCAATTCTACTCATCTTGTTTTTGTGGGTACTTATCAAAATTACTGGGATCATTCCTGTTGATAAGTAGAGTTGAACTTACTGACTGAATGTTAAAATGCATTTAAGTCTTTAACACATAACCTATTCATTGAGTAAAAAGGAAAGAAGTTGGAGGCCTCTGTCTGCATTTGAGAGGAAAGCACTGGTGTGGATTGGAGAGTCCAGGCAGAACATTCCTGGTCAGAAGACAGAGATCAGATTTTCATGAAATCTACAACTCTGAGGCTTCCCAGCTCCATTTGATTTGTTTTGTTTTGTTGGTTGTTGTTTTTGTTGTTGTTTGTTTGTTTGTTTGTTTATGGGAAACCAAATAAAATTTGCTGTTATAAAGTGGGAGAAGAGGAATGGAATGCTTTCCTCCCAGTAAAAATTCTCTCACTCTAGTTCTCAGAAAGAGGAGCTGGTGAGCCATTTGGTCATGTACTTAGTTACTCAACCATTGGAATTTTCTCAGTTCATTTATGGAGGCATGTAACTTTCATTATTTTTCTCTCTCTTACAATTTGTACTAGGCTTGCAACCATGTATGCAGCACATTGATATGTTACAAAGATGAATGAGCTGTTATTCTTTGGGTTTCCTTCCTCTAAAAGACAGAGAAGTGCAGACCACTCCCTTTTCATGTCAACATGCCTTAGTGAGTCACTTACAGTCTGCAAAAAGAGAAATGTCCCAGTAACCTGACCCACTGCTTTGTCTTCTTTTTCCAAGCAGCTGGCCCAGTGTCAAACATACCACTCATAGCCCCTCCAGCAGCAAGATCAGGAGCGACTTCTGGATCTGTGCAAGAGACCAACACGATGAAGAGATGAAGACTGGAGGAACATGGTTGGTTATGCCTGCTAATTGGTCAAGGCTTGCTGTCTTCAGGACCCAGACATTTTTCAAATAAATGGAGAAATATGGTATTTAAAACTTGTATTACTGTTATTTTCTCTCACCTGGCATGAGTGTCACTGCTGATGGGTCAAAGGCATGCTGGTAACATGCTTAGTGGGGAAATGCTGATGGTTGGTGGGTGGTTGGAGTAGATGATATTGGAGGTCTTCTCCAATCTTGGTGATCCCATGATTCTACGCTGAAAGTAATAAGGAAGTGTGAAGCATCAGCCAGGGTGACCTGGTATCAGTGAGCCCTCTTGTGTGAATAATTGAGGATATACTGTCTTGGGGGCAGACTCAAGGAAGAACAAGTGAGAATTTGGCTGCCAGCAGCATATCTTGTAGGAACTATCCTCAGAAAAATGTGTTTGGGCAAATGCCCTGAGACAGGTAGCTTTCAAAAGGGATGACCTAGCTTTAAAACCCTACGCAGTGAATTTTGTATGCAGCACTGAAAGGAAATAAAATATTTAAAATATGCCATTCTTTCTTGTTTATTTCAGATGGATTTCAGAAAAATCAAGGTGCTTGTTTGCCTTGTGGGGCTCAGCTGTGGCAGCTTATATTATTTTTACATGAATTTGACCGGACTGTCTGTATTCTATGGCAAAAAACAAAATAGTACACTACAAACATTTAGGAAAATTGAAGAAAACTTCTTGCAGCTCCCAGATATAGATTGCCGTAAGGACCCACCTTTCCTTGTACTACTTGTGGCATCCTCATGTCAAGACATCAATGCCAGGATGGTCATCCGGCAAACCTGGGGGAAGGAGAGAACGGTGGCTGGCAAGCATCTAGTGACATATTTCCTCTTGGGAACCCCTGTGAATCTTAGGCAGCAGGCTGACATCAGTGCTGAAAGCCAAAAATACAAAGACATTATTCAAAAGGATTTTATGGACACATACTACAATTTGACTTTAAAGACCATGATGGGAATTGAATGGGTTCACCTGTTTTGTAACCAGTCCAGCTTTGTGATGAAAACTGACACAGATGTGTTTGTCAATGTTTTTTACCTCACTGAGCTGCTTCTAAAGAAAAAGAGGAAAACAGGGCTTTACACAGGCTTTCTGAAACTGCATGAGAAACCCATAAGGAAAAAAAAGAGCAAGTGGAGTGTGAGGATAGAAGAATACTCGGGTAACACCTACCCACCATTTTGTTCAGGGACTGGCTATGTTTTATCCACCGATGTTGCTAGTCAGATCTATCATGTTTCGGGGAGCATTTCATTCATCAAACTGGAGGATGTGTTCGTAGGACTGTGCCTTGACAAATTAAAAATTCGGCCTGAGGAGCTTCATTCAGAACAGACATTTTTTCCAGAAAAGATTCCGTTCTCTGTTTCTCGTTTTAAGAAAATCGTGACTTGCCATGAAGTAAGCTTATCCGAACAGCAGAGCTACTGGAATCACTTAGTGACAGAAGAACATGCGAGAGTGCTCTAGCACCTTCCCTGATTGAATTAACAAACTGAAATGCTTTGAATTTACAGGGCCCCACCAAAACTCACAATTAATTCTAGATCCATTACGTTGAAGACATGTCTTACGGTTTTAGTCCCCATTTCTGCCTCAGAGCATTGTAACATCTTTCTCTCCCATTCATTTCTACCTCTTGCCATCCCTTCTCTACATAAGCAACTTCTGTTTGTTTGGTTTTTTTTTTTCCTTTTTCTGGAAGACAGGGGGCCACAAAGGTGCCTTCTCCATGGACTAGCTCTCAAAATCATGCTGCTACTGGACAGGGAATATTTCTGCGGTGCAAAAACAAACAAAAAACAACAAGGTACTTTCATTTAGAGAAAATAATTGCACCCTCTTTCTGATCTCTCTTAAGAGATTACTGCATGTGTTTCCATCTGGACAGGCATTTAAGAAAAGTTGCTTGTAGCTGTCAAGATGTTCCCCTCCTGGCTTAGGGAACTGTAGCCATGCACTTGCAGAACTGTGTAGTGGCAGAGATATCCTATTCAGCCTACACAGATTTTCTTTCTGAAGTGGAAGAATTTGCCCATGAAGATCTTTCGGGACAACTTTAGGTGTAGGAAGTCACTTTATTAATGTGTAAGACTACTGCGCTATTTCCTTATGCGTGCCTCTCAATGGAAATGATTGTGTGATAGAGCTGGATCTATATCACAGGATCAACCACAGACTGTTTGAGGCTGGCAGTGAACTTTGGAGGTCGTCTGGCCCAACCCTAGCTTCAGCAGGGACTTTCAGGGTTGGGTGCTGTATGGGAACTACTGAGTCACGGCCTGAACATCTCATTGATCACCTGAGACGAGCAATGAGTCAGCCGGAGGAGCACAGGTGAATTGCCTTCACCTGTGCTGCCAGAAGGGGTGGAGCTGGCTGCACCTCTCCTAGACCTATTTAAGAGCTGGTTACCAGTGGGGAAGGATCTCTTCTGGAGATCTGCTCTGCTGAAGTTTTGTAAGTGAGCCTAGGATAGGGGTAAGCTTTCTATTTATTCTCCTTTTGTTATCATAATCTGCTTTTGCTAAGCTCTCTTTGTTTATTTCATAGTTATAACATTCAAATATTCATTAATTATACAGGTGCTAGGCAGCTTCTGAAGATCTCCAAAAAGGAGACTCCACAGCCTCTCTGGGCAACCTGTGCCAGTGCTCTGTCACCTATACATCGTAGAATATCCCTTACTGTAGGGAGATAAACAGCCATGCATGATTAGCAAGAAAAACTCAGAACATCTTTAGGATATTTTAAGGTTTCATAAATAAGGAGTTGAACCCTTACAGCAGATATGGTGGAAAATATATTTGGGTTCTGGGAAGGGAATAGGAGTTCATAAAATCATGCCTTATGCAGTACTCCTATTTCATTGAATTGCACACAAAGATCAGTTTTACCATCAAAGAAGTAATAAAAATGTGAAGTTGGAATGCAAGTCTTATGAGGAGCAACTGAGGGAACTGAGATTATTCAGTAGTGAGAAGAAAAGGCTCAGGGGACACTTTATCACTCCCTACGACAACCTGGAAGGAGGCTGTGGAGAGATTGGCCTCTTTTCCTAGTTAGTAACAGTGATAGGATGAGAGAGAATAGCCTCAAGTTGCATGGGAGGGTGTTCAGGTTAAATATTATGGAAAACTAATGCTCAGAAAGAGAGGTGAGACACTGGCTCAAATAAAGTTAGGGGACTAATGCGTAATTAGGATGGGTGAAAAAGCCTTCCTGAGACTTTTTGAGGAAATCATATGGAAAGATCCAGCAACAAAAATAGCAAGGAGTGATTAGATGTTTTGGTCTTTCAGGGTTTCCATGACATATTTTCTAATAGAATTTCTGAATTAGGATTATTGTGATACAACAATCTGTTAGTTTGGTTTTGTTTATTTTTCTTATTTCTGTTCTTTTTATTTATCTTAGTGACAACTGTGTAAGTGTCCTTTTTCACTTCCCTGTGCCTGAAGAGCAGGATGAATATTTTCAGCAGGAACAAGCCCCATCCTGATAGATGTTGAGAGTGCATTTTCTTCTGACATAAAGTAAATGAAAGTCATGCACTGTTTTTTGGCAGCAAAAAAAATTTTTTTTTAGAAGAATAACCTACTCTGTTTTAAGTTGCTCATTCAGAAAATAGCTACATGTATGGTATGGCAAGTACTCTGGAGTACTGCATCCAGTTCTGGGCTCCCCAGTACAAAAAAGACAAGGATCTCTTGGAAAGAGTCCAGCGGAGGGCCACAAAGATGGTGAAGGGCCTGGAGCATCTCTGCTATGAGGAAAGGCTGAGTGAGCTGGGTCTGTTCAGCCTTGAGAAAAGAAGACTAAGAGGGGACCTGATCCAGGTCTATAAATATCTAAGGTGTGGGGGGCAGAGTGGTGCGGCCGGACTCTTCTCAGCAGTGTGTGGAGACAGGACAAGGGGAAACGGCCGGAAACTGCAGCATAGGAAGTTCTGCACAAATGTGCGCAAGAACTTCTTTGCAGTGAGGTGACGGAGCGCTGGAACAGGCTGCCCAGAGAGGTGGTGGAGTCTCCTTCTCTGGAGATGTTCAAGACCTGCCTGGATGCCTACCTGTGCGACCTGCTGTAGGGAACCTGCTTTGGCAGGGGGGTTGGACTCGATGATCTCTGGAGGTCCCTTCCAACCCCTACAATTCTGTGATTCTGTGATCAGCAGGGACATGGCTAACCAGGTGGTTGGGTAGGTAGCAAAGGAGATGTTTGCCTTCCCCTAGCACATACATCCAGGCTGAACCAATAGCACTTCCAGCTTGGAGGTATATCTACTCTTGGACTCAAAACCCTGTTATGGCATGTTTGCTTTTGTTCCAGCCCTCAGTAGGTGCAAAGGCTTAGACTGAACAAGCCTAACAGCAGCATTTAAGTCATTATTATTTCCATGTAAATTGTAGAAATGTCATTTTTCTTTGCTGTTCATTGTTTGTCATTATTGTACCCAAGGTGCAAGCTTGCTATTGTGCTACTGGAATTACTGCATTCAGTTCTGAGGCTCCCAGCATAAGAAGGACATGGAGCTGTGCAGTGTGGTCCAGGGCACAGGCACAAGGATGTTCCTCTCCTCTGAAGTAAGGTTGATGGAGCTGGGCTTGTTCAAACTGGAGAAGAGAAGGCTCCAGAGAAACCTTATAGTGGTGTTCCAGTACCTAAAGGGGGCCTACATGGTCTGCAGCTGAGGATAGACGCTCTATTAGGGAGTGTAGTGATAGGACAAGGTATAACAGTTTTAATGCGAAAGAGGGGAGATTTATAATAGGTTTAAGGAAGAAATTACTTGCTGAGAGGGTGATGAGGCACTGGAACAGGCTGTCTAGAGAAGCTGTGGATGTCCCATCCCTAGAGGTGAGTGAATGGCCTCAACTTGTGCCAGGGGAGGTGCAGATTGGTTATTAGGAAAAAAGAGGAGTGGTGAGGCATTGGAACAAGCTGCCCAGGGAGGTAGTGAAGTCACTGTCCCTGGAGGTGTTCAAGAAATGTAAAGATGTGGCACTGAGGGACATGGTTTAGTGGGCAATACTAGTGGTAGATAGTTGGACTAGATGATCTTAGAGGTCTTTTCCAACCTTAATGATTCTGTTATTCTAAAGCAAATTTAAGGAAAAGTATTGAGTACAAATGAATGCTTTCATGTCTCTCTCAGTTCCCAGGCTTGTAGAGTAGACAGTGCAGCTTAATGTTTACCCTGGCCTCTTCTGGTACTCAAGAGAAATACTCCTAGAGCTCCTTGTGCATCTCTCATCCCTTCTGTTCACTGCAGCATGTGCTTCACTTCCACCTCTGTGCTTGGCACCAGCTGTCAGGACCAGTCCAACCAAACTATCCCACAGAGCCTTTGGCTAGGCAGATGAGTTGGCTTATTATCTTCCACTTGGTGTTGTGATTCAAGAGGCACATGGCTCCTGGGATGGTGCTGCTGCTGGTCTTCTGTCATGCTGAGCTTGTGGCCAAAGGATAAAGTCTCCTATTAGGAGACCGCTTTGTGGGATGTCTGCTGTTGAGCAGCATTAAAATACATCTTACTTGAACAAACTGTGGCCTTGTATCATTGCAGAAATGTTACCTATGACGGCAGGCTCTGCTAGCTTTCTTGTCTACAGGTTTTATTTTAGTTCAGGAATGTTGCTAACTAATTAGGGAAGATGATGCTACTCTGTGTTAATCACATTTGCAGAAGCTATCCCTATATTTTCAGGGCTAAATTCATCCTTACTGTGCCATTTGTTGTTAGGTCCTCAGGTGTGTTTAAACAAAACACTCCTTTCTGGATGTTGTTTCCAGGGAGCATATTTGAAATTTCTATGAAACCTCTGCAGGATGCCTACAAATTACTGCATTTGTAATATTTTGTCCCCTCCAAATATATGTTGTTACACATTTAATGGCCTAACTGAAACATTTCCCTTGCCACTACTAAGTCTGCAATAAGGAGAAAATCAGTATAGAATGAAATGTGATGGATTTAGGTAGCTTGTTCCCATTCTCATTGCAAATTAGTTTCCGAAGTGGACACTTCAGGTTGCTGCACATTAATTTTCTCAACATATGATTTTCTGTTAGCTCACATAAATTAGAAATTGATTTCATAATCCTTCCCATTCAGTATGTTGCTTTGAATAAGAATGTAATAAATAAATAAATAATTGTACAGTATGATTCTGCTGTAAAAGATGATTTAAGAAAACTAACCGGTTGCACGTAAGGCAAATTTATCTGTTTATTCAAATGCAGCCACTGAGCTTGTCAGTTTATATGTATCAGATAAATGAAACTAGCTTTTGCTGCTTAGGCCATGGATCATGGCTTTTAATACAAGCAAAACTCTTTAGTAGCCTTTTGCCAAATTATGTGTATTTTCCAATGAAAGGCCACCAGAGAAAGATTGGAAATATAACTAAGCAAACAAAATACTGCATTGTACATCTACTTATCTCTTTTTAGGTTTTTATAGGTTAATACAAGAACTGAGATAAATTGTTAGCAGTTTATCTGCACAAATCTAGAATTTTTATGTTTCTTGGGAAGGAAGGTCATTAACTTTTTTTATGAATAGATTTAGAAAGTTACTCTGAAAAGTTACTCCAGCACTTCTCACTGAGTAACAAGGACTGCAGGAATCAACAGAGCTGTCAATGTCTTAGAGAGGTTAAATGTGTTTCGGTGTACATACAGTATATTTCCAACACGAGATGAGTTTTGGAACACAGAAAAATAAGTACATTTTTTTGCAATTCTAAGCATCAGTTAACCTGATCTCAACTTAGGTTAGGATTTTCCAATGTGTCCATGAAACATACCTGATTCAGCACTACTGAGGAGGCATTTGCCCTTCTTTTTTTTGAGAATTTGAGAAAGACTTTTGCAATCAAACATTTGCCTTAGTAAAAGCTGAATGGGATACAAGGGCTAACTGTCTATCATGGATCTGGCAAGGACATTATCTTTCTTGGATGTGTCCAGGATACTGGGTAATGTTAAGAAAATACCATGTGATAATGTTTGCATTATTTGCATAGAACCTAAGAATGTTGATCTAACCAATGTATGGTATTTTAGTAAACTATTTTGTTACCAGAAATCTGTGTGTTAACTTTTTTTTTGTGAATGTATTATCATTTTGGTAAGTAATTAAGTTAGGAGGCTTGTTCTTTTTTTCAGTCATAAAGGATTTTCTCCCCTAAAATACTTATTTTGTACTTCCTAAAGTAGGAGTTGTTGGTTCTTCTTCCTAAGGCAAGCACAAAACTCCCACGAACGACAAAGTGACTGAGAATGGGAGTACTTTCCCAAGAATTAAGCATGCAGTCATGCCACACAACTGTCTTGTCATTAATGATCTGCACAGGGTGCACCTCTAAGTCATCTGCAAACAAAACCTTATAAGCCAGCAATGATTTGAAAATGGATTTTTGTTTTCAAAATGACAAGAGTGTCAAGTGCACGATTATTAAAACCATAGCAAAGACATGTATATGCAAGGCCACGTATATGCAAGGCATAGGACATCCAGCCCCAGAAAACAGGCCTGTATTTTGCACAGATTCTGGCTGAGAAAACATTTTTTTTTTTTTTTCAAATTGTGATAGGAGTGCAAGGCTATCCTTTAAAAAAGTTTGTTCAAGTATATTTTCTCTGGAAAATATAATTAGACAGTTTCTTTGGTTGAGAGATCTTTTTGCCTCACGTTTCACAAACTCAAAAGTCCATTATTTATGTAGAAAAAAATCCAAGTCCCATCTCTGGATCTCTGCAACTGAACCATTTTCTGATATCCCTTGCATCTGGCCACTGATCCATCCTGACCTTGTTTAACATATGGCTCTGGGTGCAGGGTGAGAGGCACGTGTAATCAGCTTCCTATTCTTCTGTTGCCAAAAGCACTTAGGAATCAGAGCCACCATTACACTTACAAAATGTTGGTGTACAGCTGTAGGCGCAGAATGTCATAAATTAGTTATGTGGTGTGATTTACACCTCCAGCTTGTAGATCTTCCAGGCAGCTACATTCCCTTCATGTTTAATTAAATCGTTATTGCTGCAACAGTGATTGTAAGTAAATGTTTGACTCTGGTGCATAAAGGGACCTGAAGGCTTTACATGTGCTTCTGTTAACGAAGGTGCAATGAGGGAATTAAAGAGAGAACAGAGCCTGGAGGCAAGAGTAGGAGTGAGCTGCTGTGTGTGTGAGCAGTGAGCTCGCTCCTGCTGGGGCGAGGAGACAGCCAGTAGTACTTGGTGCTGGTGGGGAGAGCTTAGTGCTGGGGTGAGGATGTGTGAAGGCACCAAAGGCTGTGCTCTCCTGGTCTCTCAATAGTTAAACACTGGCACAGGCTGCCTGGAGAGGTGATGGAAGCCCCATCCCTGGAGACACTCAAGGCTGGATGGGCTCTGAGCCTGATGTACCTGTAGGTGTCCCTGTTCACTGCAGGGGAGTTGGACCAGATGGCATTTAAGGGTCCCTTCCAACTCAAATGACTCTGTGATTTTGAAGGTCTTGTCCTCTTATTCTTAGGCTAAGGCCTGCATGCTTTGCAGGTATGTCATGGAATGGAACACTGATTTGGAATACAAATGAAAAACCATGAAACCACGACAAGCTACAGCTTGAGGGGGAGGATGTTTGCTGCCAGGGACCACTGTAACAGAGTGGTATTGCCTTCTTCAGCTTTGCTGAAGAAAATTGTATATGGGGTATGGGAGAAGAGAGATTGGAAATTTCAGCCTAAAAATATGTAAATCTTCTCAATATTCTTAAAGTTTTTCAGCACTCACAGGTTTCTTGACCTTCTGGGAGGTCTTATTTTGCATATGAATTAGTGTTTGATGTCATAATAAATTTTACTGTAGGTAAGAGAAATCCAAAAGATAGCAGTGAACACAAACATAAAGAGAAGCTGAATGTATGGAACTATCTCTGCCAGGGATTTATGTTCTCTTACTGCAAAAGAACAGCTTTCAGTCAGATGTTGTATCACAAATACAGCACATAAGAGACATGATTTCAAAGAAAATAAAATGTCCATCCTTTTTGCTTTGTGATCTTAACTGATTGCCTAAAGGGAGCAGTTTGATGTCAGTCATAAGGCTGTATTTCATGAAAATGCAAACAAGACACAGCTCTTCCAGCGTAGTGCTGACTTTTATGGTGATAATCTACTCTCTCATCATTACAGTGTCAGTTTGGATCACGCCTGTAGGTCACTTAGGGAATATTCATTAATATTCTATTTTCAGAAGTGTAAGTGTTAACGCTTCTTATAACTGGCAACCTTGTAAAATTATCAGAAAAGAAAGAGAAAGGGTATAACTTCATACTCCCCTGGCAGTTTTCCTGGATGTCTCGTGGGATTTGTAGCCTTGGGCTAAGCACTTGTTCATGTGTATTGCAGAAGAAGTTTGTGCACCATTCAAGCTTCATGTCACTGATTGAAGGCAGCTCTGGATAGAGCTGCACTTTACCTAATCTCCTTGAAGACTCTGATTTTCCATAGGGAGGCATTCTGAAATCATGACCCTAAGCAATAATGAAAAGCAATAATGAAAAATGTAACAGTGAGTATTGTAAGTGTACAAAATGATGCTTACATTTTCTTGGCATGCTATCATGCGTTACAAAGTTCCTTAGAACAGGCTGAATGATAATCAGGGCAATTAAGCTAACAATTTGGATCAGAGACAAGGCATTTCTAAAGCTGAAGTAAATGTTGCTAGGAGAACTGATCTATTAGAGTGCACTAAAAATGTCCTTCTCAGATTTACACTCCTCCTATCAGAACTAAAGCTGCATCTTCTTTCATTCTGTGAATAACTTACTTACTTATTGTTGCCTGGATTCCATGCTGAATGTTTTCAACTGTTTCAACATTTCCTGAATTAAGACATTTTCATTTTACCAACTGCAACTCACCACAGATTTCAATACTGGAGAGAAGGAATGCACCTGCTGAAGTGGAAGCAAGGAGTAGTTCAGGAGACCTGGCAGGAAAGTGCTGGAGAACAACAGTCATATAAGTAATACGTAGAGGAAACGATGTGGTCCTGTTGCTTCTGGAGCTTTTCCTCTAGTGCATTTGGGTTCCAATTAAGGAAAATAGTGAATCAAAGCCTAATTTGGTCACTATAGCTAACGCTGATGTAAAACTGTTGTGAATGAGAAGCATGCCTTTCAATGGCAGATGGTCAAGTATTTTGAAAAAAATACTTGTATTTTTTCAAAAAGTATTTTGAAAAACAGTAGAGAAAAGGAATAAGAGTGTAGAGAAAGAAACAAAAATGAGGCAGATTTAAAACAGCCAAGCTTAGCATCTCCTTGGCCTGATATGCTACTAAAGAGAAGGGTCACATACTCATGTAGGTAAGAGGCAGCTAATTCAGTCTGTAGGTCAGCTTGTCTCCTACCTCAGCCTTTTCTAAAGGTTTCAGCTCTTAAACTATTCTCCGTTTGAGGAAAGAACATTTGTTTTTTAATGTGCAGCTATTTCTAAGAATCTTTCTAATGTTCAAAACACTTTTCAAGCCAATTTTCGTGGGAAAATGAAAAATTTTAGTTTCTAGCACTGATCTCAAATTAGCTTTGGTGTTGTATCTCTAAGTGCTTCTTCCTTATTTCAATGCTTCTGATCATACTTTCTTTGACTCAACTAAGTAAGCTAAAGTACAGCCTGGAAGTGCATGGACTGGTGATTTCTTCTGCAGCATTCTTGTTTGTTAAAAGTTCTCACAAATGAAGGTGGCTAAATGCTTTTCAGTTTCCATCATTGCAATTTGTTCAATTCTCCTGTGAGGAATAAAAAAAGTGTTTATGGCCACGGTGACAATGACAGAAGCCTTCAGTAAGCAACACTTTAAAAGTCCATTTTGCTCAAAGTGTGGGTTGGCACAGCAGGTTGTGTAGACATATGTTTCAGACTAATGCAACTGAGAACAAAAAATTTTGGAGGATTGCTCCAGCAGCTTACATGTTTGAGTAGCTGCAGAAGAAATGACATGGTGTACAAAATGACTTTGGAAGAGTTGGAAGAAAATGGGCAAAAATCCTCCCACTCAAAGGGAGAATTGGAAAGAAGTGTCTAGAGAAACTAGAGTGGGAGGTAGGAATCTGCATGGTACACAGGCTGATGATTCACAAAATGATTTTCCATTTGCAACAGGCTAGCAAACTTAGGACGTGATCCTTCAAATATTCATGAGCATGGGTAGTCTTGTACATGCACACTGTTCTCGGTGGCTGGGGTTTTGTACCTTTTACCATGCTGTGTTATGTCTTATCCCACACACATCCTAACCAATGCCAGTGACTGCATCACGATTCTGTGGTTCATTAGAAAAATCAAAGTGAAAAAAGAACTAACAAGGTCAGTGAGAAATAAATAATAAAATATTAATACATGTGTTGGTTGCCTAAGCAGCCCTGGGGAAAACAAAGGACATTTGAATCCAGTCACTGTGCAGCAGATGCACCCAAGAGGATTGCAGTTGATAAGTCCAAGCCAGCAGTGTGTGGGTAGAGGTGACAGGTGCTTCCCTGACAACTCCCACTTGTGTCCGATCCAGAATGAGACATGCACATTGTGGATGCTTCAGGCCACTACTGTGGGCTTCAACAAGTATTGTTTGCACTGAGGAGGCAGGGAAGAAATGCCTGCAATTGGGGCCAGCATGCTACATGAGGAAACGGTAAAAGCAGTAATGTACTGAGCGGAATACTTTATAGAATCATAGAATCATAGAATCACCAAGGTTGGAAAAGACCTAAAAGATCACCCAGTCCAACCATTCACCTATTCCAAATAGCTCCCACTAAACCATGTCCCTCAACACAACATCCAGCCTTTCCTTGAACACCCCCAGGGTCGGTGACTCCACCACCTCCCTGGGCATCCATTCCAGTGCCTGACCACCCTTTCTGAAAAGCAATACTTCCTAATGTCCAGCCTGAATCTCCCCTGCCGTAGCTTGAAACCATTCCCTCTGCTCCTATCACTAATGACATGAGAGAAGAGGCGGACCCCCAGCTCACTACAACCTCCCTTCAGGAAGTTATAGAGAGCAATGAGGTCTCCCCTGAGCCTCCTCTTCTCCAGGGTGAACATTCCCAGCTCCTTCAGCCTCTCCTCATACGGCCTGTGTTCCAGACCCCTCACCAGCTTTGTTGCCCTCCTTTGAACACGTTCCAGGGCCTCAATATCTTTCTTGCAGTGAGTTATAAGGAGCCTTATCTCTTGTATAGGTAGAGGTGACCCAGTGAAACTGTGAACCTGGGATGCTGCTTGCCTCGAGTGTTCTGCTAGTCTATTCTGGGCAGTTGTAGTCAGGTTAGTTTCTCATAAGGTGGGAAATGTGAATTTTAAGACCACTTTAACCTGAGAAACTTCAGACTCAGAATCCCAACCTTCCAGGTGAGCTCCTCACCAAGGAGGAGCATCAGCTGGGCCTTTGGATGCAAAAACCTCCTCCCAAACCAGCAGTGTACCCAGCATGTGGCAGCTGACCGTTTTGAGAAACCTTGCAGTGCTCCAAGACCTTCAAAGGCTGTTTCTCTCACTCCCTGTACTCCATCTCTTCCAAAATGACTGCCACCTCCTCTGTGTGGGTCCTAGTAGCACTGATGCTCATATAAGTTCAGATCAACTCAGATTCTGTGTAAGAATACAGATTTATATGTGTTGCCTCCAACAGTCTGCCTGGTTTGAGAATGATAGACCTCAATGGAGATGTATGCTCAAGCATCTGCTTGGTGCCAGTGTAACTGCGCAACTTTAGGTGCTCAGACACATCGTCTGGTAGATACGAACATTTAAAGCATTCATAAACTGGGAGTCAATGTTCATCTCCTGTCAAAAATGAGCCAGAGTGCAGCAAAACACAATTTGCTCCTTTTGATCTGTTTTCCGAGGCCAAATCAGTTAGAAACTCTCCAATTAAGAAAACTCTAAGGACCCTATGTTGGATATAGCTAATGTAGTGACGAGTATGTATTGCCATTTATAGACCTCAGGACCACTTGGGTTTTTGAAATCACTTATTTGCCAAATTTCTACCTCTTTCAATGTTTTTACTAGTTTGTGAAAATCATAATGGGTGTTGTATGCATCTTTATATATGTACATGCTTAAGGATATGGCCAATCTACAGAATATCACAGATTGCAGTGTGGTAATGAGACAGCTGATCAGCCTGTGATTAAATGTTGCAGCAAAAGTTGCAGCACAGATGTAGCAACATGCCATCTGAGGGACCTTAATAAGCTTGAGGATTGAGCCAAGACAAAAACATCTTGAAATCTAAAGGGATGAAGCACCAAAATCTGCAACAACCCTGAAGTATAGGCTGCAGTTATATCACCTAAGTGACAGTGGGTAGGAAACTTGCTGGAGACCTGAGGGAACTGAATACCAGGGTGAATACAAGCCAACAATACCCTCTCATTGCAAATATGGCAAACCATGTACTAGATCACGTTCAGAGATGAGTTTCCAGCACGTTCAAAGAAACTGTTATGCTCCTCTACTATGCACATCTGAAAACCTCTGTGTGGTTTTGTGCCCCTCAGTTCAGGTAGGTTGGGAGAACCTACACAGGGTCCAGGGGCAGGAGATCAAGTGGCCAAGGCTCTAGAGTACAGCACTTGTGAGGATATGCTAAGAGAGCAGGCTTTAGTCTGGTACAGAAGAGGCTAATGGGTGATCTATTAGCAGCTTAAATCTACCCAAAGAGCAATTACAAAGATGACAAAGCCTATCTCTTCTCTGTAGTGCCAAATGGTGGTTTTGTACAAGTTCTAAATGCAGCTATTATTCTTTCTGAAGCTTTTTATCAAGAATTGTCTTTATTAATCCAAACCAAAAACCAGTCAATCCATTTTAACCACTTTTTCCACTTGGGTGACCTGGGATGGAATCCACTTGTTAGATGCTTTCTCTTTTCTTCCTCTATTTTTATTTGGATGGAAATCAAAGTATTCATAGAAGTTATCTAAAAGTACAGTTTTGAAAGTGGGGATGAAAGTGTTCAGACACTCATCTGAACACAAGTGTGACATTTCAGATTTTTAAAAAAGAGATACATGGAAAAGCAAAGAAATAAAATGAAAAAATATAATTGCTTAGGAAATTATAGGAAGTCTGATTGTTTTGCTGTTGTTTTAACTAGTCAGGGTGATATTACTTTTAGTAAAGTTTCTGAAATGCAGTTTCGGAAATCAATCAAAACTCACCAAACAGAATGTTTCCTTTCCCTTTGCTGATTTGAATCTTCTGTCAGTTTGGCATTATTTTTTACTGACTAGAAATGTTACTGTGATTAGTGGGATATATAGTTCATGAAAATCATATGTCTCTTCTTTATGATTTAGGCTTCCTGGCAGATTGACTCATTAGCAATACTTCCTGATGTGTCACAGCAGCTCAACTTACTGGCCTGGAGGATGCAGTCAAGGTCTCAGAGGAAAGAAAGCTGTAGTAATAGCAAGAGCATCTCTCATAAGACTGCACTGCAGCTTTGGTGACCATAAGTGACTATAGATGTTTCAGAAAAAGGTTTGACATAACCCCACAAAGAAAACAAAATATTTCAGAATGGATATGCCAGAAAAAAGTGTGATTTAATCCTGCAAAGAAAAACAAAATTCAGAATCAGAGATCCTTATGGGTGCCTTCCAACTCAGGATATTCTGTGGTTCTATGAAACTTGCACGGGGCCCATTTTGTCAGTGCTGAGGGTAGCACCAGGCCTGACCCTCCTTCAGCAACTGCCTGGATTCCCCTCATGGCCCAAATGCCCATCTCAGCTTCTGGGACCATCATTCCCTACCCTAGCAATGCTGCAGGCTGTCTCATAAGTGTCCCTTGCCTAACCTCTGCACCAGTCCTCTTGGCACCATGTCGTGGCACTGTCATCTGCCATACCACCAGCCCCATCTCCCAGACCAGAACCCCTGGATTCACACTGGTTCTTCAGGAGCTGTGATGGCCTTTCTGCCCCTGGCTCTGGGGAACATGAACAAGAGCACAGCTGCTGTGGGGCACCTCAGCTCTCCCAGGCCCATGGGAGTTCTATTGGGTCGCTTCTGCTCCCCACTGTGTTGCCTGCAGTGCTGCGACAGACGAGTGTGCTCCGATGCTAACACACAATCTCATGGCTACAGAATATGATAAATAAATGTTGTTACAACCTGCACAGATGGCACGGCAGCAGCCCTCTGCTGGGACATCAGGTGTCGTTGCCAATCCAGCTTTTCAGGTCAGGACAGCACGTAACTCACTGCCGCCGGCCCGTCATCAGCATTACGTGCTTCCTCCTGCAGGACTGGTTAAATATTAACACCACAATATGCATATCGGGGCGGGCATGAGGGAAGACGCAGCCCTCACCTTATCTACCGTGGGGACAATGTCACACCAAAGCCCAGCAACGCAATCACGGGATCACACGGGCACTCACCCCACTGCACGGAGCAGGGAGAGGCGGCAGCTGGGCCTGGGGAAAGCTTCTTCCAGGAGGGAAGGTGAGGCTCACCGAGTGCTGCTTGTGTGTGACAGAGAGTGGGTGGAAAAACGCATTTAGGCACCCAGGGGAGGCGATCCTTGCTATCCTGCAGAGCTACGTTGCCTGGCAGAGGAAGTGCTGGGAGAAACACAGCTCCCTGTGTTTCCTCCTCTCCCTGGCTCCTGCTTCAGCTGGGAGGCCATTGGCTGTCGTGCATTTATGGCGATATTGTCCTCTTCATCAGGTGTGGGTGCAGACAGAATTGGACTTGGGTCAAGAGCAGGGGCTGGGAGCAGAGCCTGCAGCTGCCCCACACAGCCAGCAATGCCAACTGTTTGTTTATGAGTGAGATTACAACCACGTCTGCTTGCTTTAGGGACGTGCTGGGTCCTGGGGTGCTCTCTGTACCTGCAGATCCCTCCCGGGATGTTAACTTCCTGGAAAAGGACACATTACTGACATCTGTGTTTGCTTCCTGGTGCTATGTTCAGTTTCAGTTAAGGCCACATATAAAGCTAATGCTGACAGCTACCAGGTGTGTATGTGCGTGCTACAGGCTGAAGCAGAGAGGGAAGGGAGAAGGCTCTTCAGCCCTCCCCTCAGCTACCTGCGCCAGCCTTCGAGTGAGCACGTAGTCAAGGAAACACAAATCTTTCAGAATACCTCAGGCGTGCCCAAATCAACCTACAAACTACCCCCCTCCCAACACACGGTTGGAGAAATCGTCACATAGACTCAGCTTAAAACGTTGATTAATTGACAGGGCTGCCCTTTTCAGTTTGTCAAGCAAATTGAAAGCTTGCAAAATGGGGAAAAGCAGAGCAAACTGCCAGCTGATCTCATCACAGCTGCTGCGCTCAGCTCCACAAGATCCCTCCTGTTCAAGGCACTGATTGGTGAGTGGAGCTGCAGGATAATAGCTTGGCACCACAATCAAGCACACCTGGCTAGAGAACAAGAAGGGTTTTGTTGGAGATGTGGAGGCCATGGCTGCATGCCAGCATCTCCTGTGAGAATCCTCCCTGCTCCAAGTGCTGCTGCAGATCTCCCTTTGCTGTCCTTCCGTGTCTGCTTTTACAAAAGTACTGCTGAAAATTAAGGCAGGGTTGTCGTGTAGAATGGTGAAATCAGATGCTTGCTCGAGTCTAGCAAAACAGCTGGGCCAGGACTCCTGAGGTTTGGCCCTTGGTGCAGTTTTGGTTTAAGCAAGAGTGTGACTAAAAAGTACGCTTCTCACAGGAAACTCAGGGTATTTGTATGGTGATACTAATATTTATGCAGGGCCACAAAGAACACTTCTGAAACCAAAAGTAATTTCCTGACGAGAAATAAGGGCTCGCCACAAGACCACAGCGTCTGGGCTGCATCCCTCTCGTGAAGAAAAACTCAAATTTCCCAGATGAGAAGTTTGTAAACCGAGCAGTGCAGCTCCCATGTGTTTTGAGAGGGACGAGAGCAATCATAGAATGGCTGGGGTTGGAAGAGATGTCAAAGATCATCAAGTTCCAACCGCTCTGCAGCAGGCAAGGTTGCCAATTGCTAGATCATCTCACACAAGTGAATCACAAAAGCTGGAAAAACAGAAAATGTAGAATTAAGGTGATGGCTTTGACCCCAAGTTCTGTACCCTATCTCTTTCCACCTCTGTGGAAAGGTGATCATGCTGATGGGGAATGTGATTGTTTAGTCTGGAGAACAGGAGGCTCAGCGAAAGCCTTACCACTATCTACAACGATCTGAAAGGAGGGGCTAGGATATTTAGAAACATTTCTTCTCAGCAAAAGCGGTGAGGCAGTGGCAATGGCAGAGGCTGCCCAGGGAGGTGGTGGAGTCACCATCTCTGCAGGTGTTCAAGAGCCATGTGGATGTGGCACTGAGGGACGTTTGCAGTGGGCATGGTGAAGATGGGCTGGTGGTTGGACTGGGTCATCTCAGATGTCTTTTCCAACATCAATAATTCTGTGATTCTATGGTTTATTTTAGAGCATAAGAGGATCTCTTAGATTTAGAGAAATAGTGCTCAGCTGGTACCTGGGAGGAGGTTTGGTATTTCCCCGGACTGGCTCTGGATGAGGTGGCTAGGGGTGGGCAGGATTGCAGTGGTGATGCTGGTGCTAGGCTGCACCCATGAATTTATGAATAGGAATCCCAATTTGGGGCTAACATACATGGAAAAACAATGAAACATTTTTGGGGATGTAACAATGCACTGGGGTGTGTTCCCATTTTCCCTCCTGAAGGCTGTCCTTATCTGTTTCTTGGAGGAAAACAGTTCCTGACATACCAATCACCTCTGCAGCCCCAAAGACCAGTTAGGGCCTCACGTGAGGCTTTGTCTGACAAGCAAGTGGTGGAGCACAGTACTCATTACTCGGCCAGGACACTGCTAGTGGCACAGGCAGGGCACCCTCCATATGCATGTGATTACAGGCAGCTAAAAGAATTGTTTTTCCCAGCCACTCATGATTAATAGTGCAGATAGGGCTTCCCTGACCCAATAGATCCTAAAGCAGTAGTGTTACAATAGACAAGACGGACTGAGGGCTGCAAGGTCTGGAGGGGAAGTTTTCTCTGGTGAAGAAAAGTCTGTGTACTGAAAGCTCAGCTACTTCTTTTCAGACAGTGGTTCTAAGACTGGGTACTGCTTTTCCTTCAACCCTTGCCTGATTTAATCATCACTCTTTGTTTGCGTTACAGGTTACATAAGGTTACGCTTAATCACAGGACGCAAAGCAGCAACTCATTACCAAGTTTCTCCGTAAGTTCTGTCCTTCAGCTTCTTCTCAAGCATTCAGTGGCTGCTGTGGCTTCCTGCCTTAGGGACCAGGAGAGCATGCTCCAATGGAGAGGTTCCAGAAGTTTGTTTTACTTCCTTTCATCTTAGCTGCCTCGCTCCCAGGTAGGACATGTTCATAAACTAGGCGATGAGCCACTGTGGACAAAATGTGTGAGTTAATTTTAAAGTTATGTAAATGGCAGTTACCAGCAATATCAGGCTGAAGAGTAAATCCAGCAAGGGAATTATTCAAAGTGTTTAAAATGGATAAGTTTTCATTTCAAATCTGAATGATCTAATAGCTTAGAGTGATCTTCAGTGTGGAGGATGAGCAGTTGAGGGGTGGGGAGGAGGCTGCCCTCTCACTGCCACTGAGCAGGGATTTCCCCATTTCACTGCATCTACTCCTTACCCTAATCCTTACCCCCATCTATTCAGGTGTGCTCTTGAGGGTGTAGCCACAAAGAGCTCAGTAACAGCTTATTTTGCTTCCAGAAATATGTATAAATTATGACTTTTTTAGTTTGCCTTCAATTTACATTTTGCATGCCTGATTCTCAAAGTGAATACAAATAGAATGCAGAACCTTAACGAAAATGACAATGAGGTGACTAGTTGGGTATCAGAAATGATGCTGATTTGTTTATTGTCATTTAGTTGGGGTTCTAAGAGGCACTGAAAGGATGATCTGCAGTGGGATGAGAAGGAAGGTATATTGGCTTAATAACCAATAAAAGGAAACACAGTACAGCAAAACACAGTGAGTTTATTGAGCAGAGTGCTGTTCCCAGTAGAGTTATACAGGGATATGTGGTGTTCAACAAACTGCTAAACAACTCATGAAGAGCAGTGTGAGCTGTCAGGTGGCAGACTGTGCAGGTGGTGTGGAATTACTTAGGATAGCCAAAGGCATGAAAAGACTATGAAGGTTTGCCAGAAAATGTCACGATGCCAAGTGAATCAGTAATAAAAAGCAGAAAATATTCAGTGCTAAGCATCATTTAACTGAAGATGAAGAGTAGATATCTTTGGGAAGAGAATAAGTTGCTGAGAAAGAGAGGGAATTTCAGCACTTAGTGTCTTCAACTGGGGAAATGTGATGGCATTATATAAATCCACACAAGGCTTATGTCTCAAATACTGAATGTTGAGCTATCCCTTCCATTTCAAAGAGGACAAACAATGTCTGAGTTATTAATTGTGGCAGAGGTGATATGAGGAATGAGAAGAAGATTCTGGCATTTTTTTTTCTGCCTGTAGGAAAAAAAATAGTAAAGACATTTTAGAGTATTTATATGGAGGTGAAGAGTGGAATGGCTATTTGGAGTTTTAGTAAGTTTTACTTGTGGCCACTAGTTCTATTAGAAAGTGGATGTAAATCAAACCGAAGTGTGTGCTTTTCTTGACAGGATGTCATCAAGTAGTAAAACTCATGGCCACTGCACATGGGGGATACCAAATTATAAATAGACTGGAAAAAAAGCTATATGCAGACATAATACAGGTGCACGTGCAACTGTTGGTTCAGGCACTCCTCAAGTGTCATATTTTGACACACTGAGATGTTATAGTAAGGAAGCCTCAATTTTACTTGTTTTCTTTCTTGTATTGTCTTCTCACATTCAGAACAGGAGTTTTGTGAGTTTTAGTGGGTGTCTATTTCACTGATGCTTTTATTCAAGCACAATTGCGATGTTTTACTGCCCCAGCTTCAAGCTGTGCTGGGGCAGCAGGCATTGCTCACACTGTGTTATGCAGCCAAAGGGCCACAGCCCACAGTGGGCAGAAAAAGTGTATTGTGGAGAGAAAAAAGTACTATTCTTGGAAGAAGTGTCACTGCACATGGGCTACCAAGACAGCTGCATGGCAATTTGAGTATTGCCCTGGGTGGGCACTGTGCACCTTTTGGCAGACAAAATATGAGAAAATGCAACTGGGGGATGTGCAGGACTTTGTGGCAAAAATGTCACTGAGTACCTGTAGACTGGCGTTGCTTGACTGAAATGTCATATATAAGCATTTTAGAGTATTATTAAATCAGAAAATAAGCTTGTCCTTCTCTGCAGGCTTTAAGAAGCTCTAACTTAATTTGGTTTTCAAAAAGCTCAGATTCATGGCTGCTGGTTTGTGAAATAAAGTTGAGATGCTCTGAAGAAAAACCTACTAAATCCAAAACCATTTATTGCAGAGCTAGGCAAAGCTGTGAGGTAAGGGAGGCAGAAAACAAGGTGCAATGAGCACAGGACTAAAGAAGGAAAGAAAAAGGAATTTTAAACAAACTGGAAGGAGAAGAGTAGAAAAATAAATAGCAAAGTAGGAAAGGACACAGATGGCACAAAAACTGAAGGATAAAATACAGAGTTTTGGGAGGTTGGTAACAGCACTGAGGAGGAGAATATTTTTGAAATATCATAGTGATGATGGGGGGAAAAAAAGAGTTACGGCAAAAGGATGAATCCATCCTGTCTTTAGTTGTGTTGTGTCTAAATAGATCATTTACACGAGGAGGAAAAAGCAAGTCAGTAGAGGAGGGGAGGGAAAGAAGAAAGGTAACCATGTCTTAATGCCCTGAAATGCTGCTGAAACCTTCAGAATGACAAAGCAATTCTATAGAGTTACTTCAGGTGGGAAAGGAAAAATACCAGGGACAAAAGCAAAGGTGGTTCCTTGGAAAATGAAGTTGCTAGGTTTCAGCTATGGCCCTGAGAACTGAAGAGGCAATTCTGTGTCTTCAAAACTCATGGTGATGTGACAACGAAACTGTGTGACAGGGGAGTGAATAAGGAGTTCCTGAGGGTGTTGATGTGCATTTGTGTGCTGCTGGGAAGGACAGCAACTGAAATATTGTGAACAGTTATCATATAAAGGAGACTTTCACCACTGGTGACTTCTTTATAAACATATAATAATGTGACCCAGAGGAGGTGTCCCAGCTCAGCTCTGCTCTTCAAAGCTCAAGTGGTAATGCAGCATCATGAAGGCAGTCTGACACTTCCCTCGGTGAGGGAAGTTATCGGTGAGGCCGTTTGTCTGTCTGGATTTCTTACTGGTTGTATATGAGGAAGCAGAAGTTAAACCAGCTGTTAAGCACTGAACACATATTTCCTGTAAAGTGTGATGGCAGTCCCGCCTGAAGCTTTAATTTGGCTGAAAGCAACCATCTGCAAGTTATTTTTTAAGCACTATGTAAATGAAACCAGCAGGTTTTTTCTTACTAGTGTAAGAAACAAAGCCCAGTAAAAGAATGAAGAACACCAGCTTAAAGCACTGGTAATTCAGTTTTGTTCCCGTTTCTGTTGTGAACGTCCTCTTTGACCTTACAGAAGTGACTTTATCAGTGTTTGTGTATGGGTCGAACAGTGGAACCAATTGTTGATTTGGGACCCTGTGTGCTACTGCAAGATTAAAAAAGGAATAGGCAAAAAGATAAAGAGGTGAGTTTATAATCACCAAAAATATTTTGGCAACTGATAGAAGGCTTATAAAACTCCTTAGGTCCAAATGGAGGCAAGGTCGAGCAATTTCCCATTCCTTGATTCTCCTGCCAACCATAAAATCCCCATCCAAGTCTTCTGGGCCTCTTTTCTAGATCTCAAAAATCAGTAAAAGAGCATCTATTACACAGCAGATCCTGGCTGGTGGAAGAAGATGTAGATTCCACCATATCTGTGGACAAATAAAACACGATTATGTTAGATAAATCAAAGGATAACACATACCTACCATATACACCTACTATATTCTCCCGATGAGATGAAAACAATATTAACCCTGTACTGTTAGAGCAAATGATCACCAATTTTTCATGTTTGGCAATAGATTTCAAGCCTGTTGTGATACTCACAGACGTGATCTCATATCAGTGTACTGGAAGTCACATCATTTATTCAGAGCTGCGGCAAACCACTATGCTCCTTAAGAGAGAGAAGTGTTTGCACAGGCTAAGAAATAAAACACAAATGCACAGATGAGAGTTAGCATTAAGAGGAACAGTATGAATAAGTACTGCACTCCTTCATGAGCAACTTAATGAATTTTAGTGTTAACTCTGAGGAAGTTTGCAGTCAGCTGAGTCCATCATCATGGTAGAAGTTTTTGTCTGCCTAAGCCAACTAGGAAAAATGCACACACAGTGAAAATCAGAAATCTCAACACATCCATGTGTTATAGACTATAGCTGTAAAAGGACTAGTATTGTCAAGGCTGGTTACAGTATGAGGGGAAAAAAATAATTCAAACGTGTTTGGGCTCAGGACAGCGTCTTCAAGGTCAGCAATATCTGTTTGAACAGGAGTCACAGCACTTGGATGCTGAGTACCAGGGAAAAGGAACATACTATATGGCAAATGGTCTCACTGGAATGCACTTCATCAGTACGTGTTCATTAGAAATCTTGTAGCTCTGTAAATAATACCATCCACAGACACATGGACAATCTCTTACATTCAGAAAGTGACAAAGAGAGGAGAGACGAGAGCTTTTAGTCACTTTATTGTGTTAAATGTTATATGGGTGGATAGTGATAAGACAAGGGGGAATGGTATTAAACTGAGATGGGAGGTTTAGGTTAGATATTAGGAGGAAGTTTTTCCCTCTGAGGGTGGTGACGCACTGGAACAAGTTGTGGATGCCCCATCCCTGAGAGGCATTCAAGGCCAGGCTGGATGTGGCTCTGGGCAGCCTGATCTGATGGTTGGCGACCCTACACACAGTAGGGGGGTTGAAACTAGATGATCTTTGAGGTCTTTTTCAACCCAGGCCAGTCTATGATTTATAAAGTAATGTATTAAGGCATGCCTTTAGATTGGATTGCTGAGTTGGTCTTCAAGGTGTTTCTTGTTTTAAAACATTTCAGTTCACCTTTACAAGACTGAAACTTTGAGGAAATGTTACTGGAAAAATTGTTCTACTAAGTTGAACAAAAATATGCTTTATCGTATCTTATCTGGCTTTATTAGCTATCAGTAGAAGTGACCCTTTTTATTTAATGTTTTCTTGCTCATACACAGATATGCTCTGAAAAATGGTAGAGGTAACATAAGGAAGGTGGAAAATATCTGTAAAGTTTTTTTATAAACATGAGAGAACTCAGTGTCAAGCACACAAAGATCCAGCTAGGTTGTTAAAAACCTGCAGAACAAAGGCTGAAAGTACTCTGTCCACCCACTGCGTGTGTTTGAAGAAAGAGAGGAGCTATTTATATTAAAGAACAATTCTTGGCACAAAACTGCGTAGATATAAACTACCTGGGATTAAGTGGGAGCTGGGAATTAAAAAATGGTGTTGATGTAGGGACAATGGGATTACAGGCCATGTGCCAGGAGAGCCTGCTCAGAGGTTCTGCTTGTGAAGTTGTAACTGAGATAGGGCTCCTGTAAGGTTCATGCAAGTACTAAACCTCCCTTTCATGTGAAACAATACAGCATATACTTCCCTTCTCATGCCAGCTAATGACCAAATGAAAAATGAATTTTTCAGTAATTTGTAAATGAATCCATTAATAATTAAACTACATAAAATGAACCAAACCTGAGTTGAACAAAACCTGTAAAAATTACATCATTGTCCTGAATACAGTTAGCACTGGAGTAGCAGTCATTTCATATTTTCTGTCTCCTGGAAAATAATTGTACACTTATACTCAGGCTGAATTTGCAGACATGGAGTTTTAATTACACTGCTATGGACCATAGCATCTAAATGCTGTAATTATGCAGAGCTACAGCTTGAATCATTAGGATAACACTGGCAATACTGCTGCTTTCTCAGGATGAATGTTTGGCAGAAAGTGATAAAACTTGGCACTGAGGAATGTCTCACTGGCTGGACTGCAGAAAGCTTGTAGAATCTCAGTCCTTAAAAGTGATGCCTAGTGATAGAGGAGCCTGCAATGTGAGTCTTCCTTCCCCTCTTCCCTTTACCTGCAAACAGCATGGCTGTGGGTGTCAATAACTTATTGAAGCAGTGACAGTGCCTTAGTAAAACTAATGACAGTATACATTTTGGGTTCTGCTCTACAAGAAAGATATTAATTAAACCTGAGTGAGTTCAGTAGGAGGTCATTAAAGTGGTCATGGGCTGGATGGAGCACTTGCCCTTTGAGAAGCAGCTGACAGAGCAAGGCCTGTTTAGCTTGGGGAAGAGAGAGCTGTGGGGGAACTTAGAGTAGCCTGCATGCAGTGGAGCAGTTTGCTTGGAAAAACTGTGTGGTCTCTGTCATCTTTAGAGGTTTTTCTCCAGACCTGACTGGATAAATCTGTGAGCAACATATTCTAACCTTGGAGATGACCCTGCTTTGAGACAGAGGTTGGACTGAAGTCAGAGGTCCCTTTCAACCTGAATTACTGGATGACTATTTTGTCATCTACTCCTTGAAAGCCATGGGTAGTAGCCTTTTTTCTACTGCACATGAACATAGCATGTTCTGGAGAATCATAGAATCATCACAGTTGGAAAAGACCTGCAGATCATCCAGTCCAACTGTCCACCTATCACAACAGAACCTCGCCAAAACCCATAGGGATTCACACAAGAACAAAGACCCAGAGAAGCAGGTTCCCAGTTTTACACAGAAGTATTCTACTGAGTCCTGTTCCCTAAGAACAACCCAGATTATTTCCTGAGTATCTTAATGTTTGAAGATTTGTCCCTCAGGAAATACAATATTCTCCCCCTGATTAATATTTTAAGATTTGTCTGTTTCCACTGAATATTTCTGGGATGAAAGTCACAGCTGCTGCATTGAAAAGAGGCTCTCTATCTTTGTCCTTCACTTTCTACTTAGGAGAAGCAAGTGCTTCTGCCTTCTCTTGCACAGAAGATCTACCACCTGCCTAGGCAACAGCTGCAGGCAGATTCCTCTGAGGGCAATATGAGATTCTCAGCCTGTAGACAAAGACAAGAAAACAAAATGCCACAATTAGAAGTGAGCTTTTGGTTCTGTAGAATAGTAGCTAAGCCTTATGGTACTTCTAAGGAGAAAAACTCATGAAGTCAAGTTCTGGTTAGTAGAAAACCTGAAATGGTGGGTAATGTATGGGGTGCTTGCAAGAGGAATAAGAGAAGAGGTAGGTGAATAGGGGAAGGTATATGGAAAGATACAAAAAATCAGTGGCAATCTCAGTTATGGAAAGAAAACTATACACAGTCCTTTATTCATTTAAAATTGAGATATCTCGTGTATTTTCCTATCTAAAAGGAAACTTTTCCTTCTGCAAAGGAAAAGTTGTCTACTACTGCTAGACACTATAGAAAACAAGGTAAGAATACTTCTGAAAGCATCAGGTACTATTGGCTGTCAGAGAGGAGGGAAATGCCAGCTCAGAATTGTCACCAGCTTTTCCCAAAAATGCTTAATACCCTAGTGCTCCTTGTAAGCCAGGACTGTGGTTTTTCAGCTTTCAAATGCTGACTTCAAGTCAGATGTCTTTGTTGGTGATAATTATAAAATCATAGAATCCTTAGAGTTGGAAGGGGCCTTTAAAGACCATCTAGTCCAACTCCCCTGTAATGAACAGGATATCCATAGCTAGATCAGGTTGCTCAGAGCATAGACTAGCCTGATCTTGAATATTTCAGGAATGAGACTTCCACCACAACTCTGGACAACCTGTTCCAGTGCCTTACCACTCTCACTGTGAAATACTTTCATATTTACAGGTTGTTTTCTTTTTCCTTCCAGGTCTTAGCTTTTGTTATTCTATTCTGGATGGCCCTACTAATGCTACAGTCCTTGCTGGTTCAGAAGCCCGGTTTAATTGCACAGTGGCAAGTGGATGGGCAATTCTCATTTGGTTGTTGAATGCAAATCCTGTCCTCACTGTCATAAATTCTCACGGACCTATTGAAACATCAGATCGCTTCACCTCTCGTAGCTATAACAACAGTCAAAGTTTCACCTCAGAGCTGATCGTCCACAACACCCAGCTAAATGACTCTGGAAAAATTGAGTGCAGCATCCAGAAGCCTGGTGATAGCAGCTTTGCCTTTCTTTCTGTGCAAGGTGTGTATAGCCACCAGTAGAAAGCTATTTTATTATCTCACGTTTAAAGAAATCCTCTGATTGATTGTGCAAATTACCCTGTGAAGGAATATGTGCTCTCATTTACTATAATTTGTCTCCACGGAGGACCTTGTGTTAATTTTAGTCAAAGTAGGTTTCAGTCACAAAGTGCCATCAAAAAGACTTGAACTGCCCTTGTTTTTCCTGTTATATCTCTTATTCTTCATTGGACTACATTAAGTGCCAGAAGTCTGTCAGTCAAAATGGATCTTTTGCCTAGAAACATTATGGATTACCTTTACTCCTCTCTTTCTTTGTACCTGGGCCTTCTGCTATCTTTAGGACAGATTTCTCTCCTGCTGTCTGATTTAGGAATCAATCTGTAGCCCACTTTTTGAGTTTGATTTAATGATGTGCAGAAGTAAAGTCTTTGAGACACAAGGTGATACTTTTAAAGTGATGGCTGTCACAAACTACCATTTCCAAAGAAGAAAATGCTCCTGCATTATCAAGTCCCTGAGTATGAGATTTTTTTGTTCTCTTCAAAGCATCAGTAGTTACAGAATGCGGCCAATAAAGCAGTATCTAATGATCAGACACTGTCCATTTCAGAGTTGCTTCATGTGATGGGAATATCTCACCTGTAAACGTTTCTTGGTAAGGTTTCCAAAGCCATACTTAAAGATTATGGAGAAACTCTCTTATTTGATTGTGTTGTCCTTCAGCTAGAAAAATAATGCCTAAAAAGTGTAATTTCCTGTTTTTTAATCAAAAGATATTGAAAGTTAAGAGTAGTGCTTTAAGCATACTGAACAATGTGCCAATTTAGATGCAACATCTGGTTCTTTATATAATGAACATCTTATGTCAGTGTTAATCATCTGTTTTAAAATTCATGTCTCAACGTATAGCTAATTTGGGTTGACAAAATAAGATTAAAAACTACTGGGTAGAAGGCAATGTGGCTAAATATTGTGAAAGAACAAAACTTCTTTTCCCTCCTACAGTTAATGGATCTTTACTCATGAAAAACAGCACCTTAATAGTTAAAGAGAACACAACAGTTGAAGTTGTTTGTGAAGCCATAGGATGGGCTCCAGCTCCAGAAATTACCTGGATGACAAATGACTCTCTCGTTGATAAGTCGAGGTATGTTACCCACCAAAGTCAAGGATCTAACAGCCTCCACAACGCCCTGAGCGTCCTGACTTTGACTCCAGTGAATACTGAGATTTTGACATGTTTAGCTGATATAGAAGCACTCCCAAGCCCTCAGAATGCAACCATAGCTGTTATTGTTGGCAACTCTACTCTAGGTAAGTGAATGCTTTTTTGTACTTTGTTCTATTTTCTCAGAACTGTGCTTTACATTTTGTATTGCTTTGAAAAGGCTTTCATTTGTAACTAAAATACTGTTAGATATGCAAAGGTGATAGAATTAAGGACTTGATAGTTACATCTGATACGTAAGTACAGGAAACATCACTTTTGTGAAAGAACTGGTACAAGTCTAATGAACCACAATGTACACTTAGATCAAAGAGTCATTGGGCCTGTAACCCTTCTCCTATTATGGTCTCTTTCATGTTTTAGAGGAACATGAAAATTCCACTACAACAACATATGTAAAACTCTTGGAACAGTGCATCAGTTGCTTTTAGTTGACTTTTCTTTAGGGAAATTCAAGGTTGCATATTAAACTAAGCAAGAGTGTTGAGCAAATCTTTCAAGAACTACTAGCGAACATTTGATAACCCTAAATATTGTTGCTAATGTTGTCAGCATTTTTTTGGTAATGCTGTTCATCTTTGACCTCATTGATGACCCTTGAAAATGTATTCCAGAATTTTACATGCTCATAATATTAGGACGTTCGTAAAAAAAAGTTTTGTCTGATTTGCCCTGACAATGTGAAACAAAGTTAGTGTTACATTCCCATTGAAGATCTAAATTCATGGTTTTGAGGAATCCTATGTAAAATGCTTTTCCATAACACAGCAAGAACAACTAAGACACAGCATCTCTTTACAATTTAGCAATAGTTTAATGCAGATGGGGAGACAATCGCAGATCGTCCTTGGGAGCATTTCTGTATAGGGACTGGGCAAGCATCTCAACTATAAAGCAGAGGACTCTCAAGACAAGCTGAGTCTGAGGAGCTAATAGCATGGCAGGTAGTCAGGGTTATTCAGTATAGCTACACTGCTGAGATAGTGACACAATCCACCACACAATGACATCCCTTTTATTAGTCTTAGTCCATGGGAAATGCATGGGTTATTTGGAGTATTTTCTTCTTCACAGTGAATCTATGTAACCCCATCTGCCTTCTGTGTGTAGAGTAGGGCCTCAAATCTGCGTTTCTCTTCATGATGTGGTGAGCACTATGAACTTCTATGATCACATTGACAGCTTCTCTTGATGAACTGATTATTCTAGGTGAATATACCATACCCAAAACATTCTCATAGAGTTTTGATGAAGGGTATAATATAGAAGTTTTTACATATAAACAACTGAAAAGGTTGAGTAATTTTGCCTTTAATGTATGAATCATTACTTGCTCTGTAATGCAATTGAAAAAGTTCATTTCAACATTATTAATGTGATTATTTTGTAGTCAGATTGTTCCTAATGACTAAGCAAAATAGAACTACCCTGAGGAAATCAATAAATTCCTTTGCCTACTTGTTTGTGAAGTACTGAGGTATACACCCTCGGTTTCCATAGCTACTCATTGTAAATCAGAAGACGAGAAAAACAGATGTCATGAAGCACAATTAGTGTATAATTAGTGATTGTATAGGGCCATCTTTCATTGCTTTTTGGAAAAATTATTTTGCAGCATCAGGCACTCAACATCTGTCAGCATTTGAGCATATGAGGTCTACAGATTATTAGAATGAAATAGACCTGACATTTATGACAGAGGACGATATGTAACGTACATCACACATGAAATTTCAAACCTTGTTTGGTTTTTCATAAACAGACTCAACCTTGGCTATTTGTCAGGAATAAGACATTGTCAGGAATAAGAAGACTTAAGGTGTATGAAGCTCTTGGATTATACAGTTCAGCCTTCACTTAAAAGCTTGAGGAATCTAATTCCTCCAAGTTCTTGATGAGCAGTACTTGTTCATTCATGAAACGGCATCCCAAAGCCCTCTGAGCCCCCTTCAGCCAGCCATCACCTCACCAGTATTCTTCCTACACGTCTAGATCACTCCTCATCTCAAAACTCTTCATATGGCTAACAAATTGACGCCATCAGTTACTCATCCTGATAGGTACCTCACTCCCAGCAAAATTTGGCTGAGTTCCAGATTTGGGAATTTCTAGGAAGTTATTGCAACAGGTGTATTCACAAAGCTGTTCTTGAAAATGAGGCTCTTGGCAAAGTCCCTTAGCTGGTCCCAAGTTCTTTGTGGCCTCAGTGTTGACTCCACGTGGTCTTTGGACTGCAGAAATGGAGAGTGGGGATATGCCAGGTGCCTGATCTTCCTTTGTTTTTTCTTAGCCAGAAAATTCCGACGTGTTCAAGAAGTGATGTCCAGCTTTGTTCAGTCTCTAGTTTCTCCCTTGGCATCAGCATGTGCCAGAGAAAATTCCTTTTCTTAAAGTACTTTACACAAGGCTGCTTTAAGAAGAGTACTTGAAGGGAGCTTATAAGTAAGAAGGGGGACTGACTAACAGCAATAGGACATGGCAGAATGGCTTTAAATGACAAGGGGGGGGAGATTTAAGCTTAGATGTTAGGAAGAAATTCTTTCCTCAGAGGGTGGCGAGGTGTTGGCACAGCTGCCCAAAGAAGCTGTGGTGTCCCATCCTTGGAGATGCTTGCGGCCAGTTTGGATGGGGCCCTGTAGAATGAGGAAGTGGCTTTCTTCACACTGTACACCTAATGTAATTTGATGTGGATTTAGTCCTACTTTCATACTGTACTGGCAGCCCTTGTGTTCATATCTGCTGGTCTCAGTTCCAGTTTCTTGCCTCTATAGCTAAGTAGTTATGTCTTTCATATTTTAGTCATAGTGAAATCCCTGTGGCTTGCTTTATGAAACAAAACAGAGCACAATGCATACATTTTTTGCAGTATTTCTGGACAGAAATATTGTGAACAAGTTCCTCACCAATTGTATTCACAATTGATTACAGTCTGCAGATTTAACTACTAGTCTGCAGGTTGCTCAATGTTTGTTTTCTCTAATTGTCAGATGAATTTCAAAACATGCTGATTGTGCATCAAGCTATTTGTTCCAGACTTCTACGATCCTAATCAAAATGGCCCAAAATTTTGAGAATTCAGACTAACAAAGGCCCAAGCTTTGTAGGAGACTCTGGTCCTGTGTCTCTGCAATCTGAAGCCAAAAAAAAAAAAAAAAAAAACAACCCAGGTGCTCCAGGCAAATTTGTAGATAGAATTCATTTGCTTCTTTATTCTTGCCATAAGTAAAGCAGCACGTACTTTGGGTCACGCATCTGGGGAAACTCTATTACACTGTATGGTTGCCTGCAGTCTGCATTGCTGTGGTATCTTTCCCAGATGCCATCAGCTACATACGGCCATATGATTATTAACTGGGACTTCTAATGAGGAGTGACAATTGTAAACCCCATCTGCTGGGGCACTGTCAAGTTTGGATATATTTCTCATGTGTCATTTGGATCAAAAGCTTGTTTCTAAACAACTGTCAAAGCAATTTGGTGGCTGCTTTTCAAAGGGTACACAAATTAGGGGTGCTTCTAGCATGTTTGGTCAAAACCAAATGGTACAGTGATGTGACAGTCAGACCTGACAGCTTCCTTGTGCATCCAGCTGTGTGAGGAATGTGAGGTATTCTTAACATATTGTGATGTAGGAGTTTTGTTGGTAGAACTGGTTGCTGTGAATGCATTTCCTAAGACATTGAATTATCCTGATATCACCCCATCTATCACTGTGCATTACAGTGAATAAAAAAAAAGAGAGAGAGAGAAAAAAGGAAAGAAAAAAATGAAAAAAAGGAATAATTTATTGTTATGAAAATGCCAGTAGTAAAGATGGTTTGGTAGCTTCAGTGTTCTGAATTGTCCTTCTCTTTACCTTTTTAAGTGTTCAGTGCACTTTAAGTGGATAAATGATGAGCTACAAAGTATGTTGAAAATTTAAACACCTGCTGAAATTAGTGGGAGAAATCCCAAGATGGGATTTATTGTAAAATCTCATCTACAGGCTGGAGATCTCCATCAGTGCTAGAAACCTAAAACTGTCACTGTGGTCAGTGGTGAGAAATGGAAGCTTCTTCAGAACAGATCATTTTATCCGGAGGGATACATACACATTTGGCCAGATGTGTTGTAGCCTAAAATAGCTCGTTTCTCTACACTGACAAGTGCAGCTAGGTAAGGTGTTTAATACCTGTCAGAATTGAATATTTATACCTTCTCCTAACCCCAAATATCTTCAAAGGATGATGGGGGACTCAACGTAACTACAGAATAAAGTTTTGTTTGGAATATTAGAGATGTGTATATTTCAGAAAGAGGAATAGCTGTTGGAAAAATTACAAATGTGATAAAGAATTTTCTTTTGGAACCATTCTAAATTCTTGGAGACAACCCATAAATACAGAGATCATGGCTTGGATAACACAGCTTCCTTGCTAGATAGTACCTTGGTGAGGCACAGGCTGCCCAGGGAGGTGGTGGAGTCACCACCTCCCTGGAAGTGTTCAAGAGCCATGTGGATGTGGCACTGAGGGACGTGGGCAGTGGGCAAGGTGGGGTGGGCTGATGGTTGGACTGGATGATCTTAGTGGTCTTTCCAACCATAATGATTCTATGAGCTTATGATTCTAATCGATAAGCAGTTAATAGTTTCTCGCAGAAAAAGTCAATATTATGAAAACAATGTTTTGAGTCTCTGATAATACAATTTATCCATTTAATTTAACAGACGGCAATTACAGTGAAGACAGCACAAGCACGTGGGTTATTGCACTAGCAGTTGTGTTTTCAATTGTTGGTTTTATTCTTCTGATAATTCTTATTTGGGTTGTCGTGCGCTGTTGCTGCCTAAAGAAAGGTAAGTGGAACTTCATAATTGGCCTATACATTAAAAAACAGAAAAACAAAAAACAAAACAAACTAGATATAAACTACTTATGGAGTGCAGAGATGTGTAAGCAGATGGGTGAGCAGAGTGATCACGCTCTTAACCATGACCTGGTTAAGATGATCCTTACCTTCCCCTTGTTTCTCCTATAACTTGTTCCAAACTATGAGGGCTGCTCCAAAAGCAATGCCTCCTGTTTCATTATGTTGGCCCACAACATCAGAGGTTGATGTTGGTGGGATGGCAGTAGTGGTTGAGTGTTCCTATCAGTATTCCATTCGATTTTGTTGCTGGAGACAGCAGCAGAGGGGCAGTCTGACACAATGGCATCTGGCACAGAAGTGTGTGTGAAGCAAAGGTGCGTCACTGAGTTTATCTGTGTGGAAAAAATGACACCTACTGACATTCCTCAATGCTTGTTGAACGTTAATGGAGACCAAACAGTGGCTGTGAGCACAGTGAGGCAGTAGGGGGTGCATTTCAGTGGCAGTACCTCCCCACTGCTGATGCAGATGTTTACAAGCATGCATGCAGATTCTTGTTCATTGCTGGCAAAAGCAGAGCTAATGGTGGTGGCTGTGTTGACAAATAGTGTTTTGTAGCTGAGAATTTGCTCTACCAAAGAGTGTTTGCATGCTCTTGACACTCTGTATCTATTGTAGTTTCCACGGAAATAACTAGGAGGCATTACTTTTGGAGTGACCTGTATCATCAGTGACACACATTAACCTTCACATTACCCAGAAGGGCATTTCAGGAGTATATTAACCTTCAGTGGTGCGTAGTTCCTACAATGAGGTTATTTGCTGAAGCATATTGGCAGTTCCTAGTTTTCTTATGGTGTGAGCCACTCTGCAGGGATATTGCAGTTCTGCACATAAGGAGAAGAGATTCTCCTAAGGGCAGCTCTCTACAGGTCATACTTTATTTCCCAGCATTTTAATGGTTTTTTTTTTACCCCCCTCAGGATCCACATATGAAAATGAAGTGAGGTAAGATGAACACGTCGGGATAATTTTTTTCCTTTTTACAGGGCTCTTTCAGGCTTCTGCAGTGTGGTCATAGGGATGTGCCAGTTTCGGTGCCCCACTGCAGGGGGAGGGTGCAAATCAAACGCTCACTTACAGGAGAAACCTTCGGGTGCTGGGTGTTTGCAAGCGCTTCCACAGGAGGTCACTGCGAGCCCGTGGCTCCGCGGGGAGCGAATCGTGGCTCTGTCGAGGTTCCTTAGTGCCAAACTATATATAAAGTAAAATAAAGAAAAAACTAAAAAAACACAAATAGCTGAGTATCAACACTTGATCTTTTGTGAAGGTCTGTCGGCATTTTTAAATTTTTTTAGGGGGAAGAAATGGAGAAATTAAAAGCAAAAAACAGCACTGTTTTCTCTCTTGAGGAAATGATGCTAATTATGCCGTACTGGTAAACTTCCTTGAGATTTCTTTGTTTATGATACTGAATTAATCATTTTTACCAAGTCTACCTATATAAATAGTGCAGGACTACATCAGTAGGGAACAGGAGGTCTAAAGGAAGCACAACCTGCATAACAGTCCTGGTATGAATAAAACACTAGAAAACATTTTTGCTTGGATTCTGACTTGATTCTGCCAAAAGCCCTTTGCAGGGATCAGCACTGCTGCAACAAAATTGATTATATATTCAGAGAGGTTTCTGCTTAGTGTGGGGATGGTACAGCCATGTGAATGTCCTTCCCAGAACCCCACCTTGCTGGCAGTGCCCTCGAAGGGTCTGCATGCTGCCTTCCTGAGCAGATGCAGAATGAGGTTTAGTGTTCAATTTTCCCTATTTCTTTGCATCTGATCTGGTGCAAGTGGGGTTATGTCTTCATGAAATAATCTTAGTATAGTAAAACTCCAGTTTTGCAATTAACTTTAAGCATGGGTTGTCATTCCAGGTCCCTAAAAGTTGCCGACAGTCTGAAAGTTAAGCAAAAGCTTAGTTAAATGCTTAAGCACTGGGATGAATCCAGGCTCATCAGCTTAGTTAGGAAAAGTCAGTGCTGACAGTTCTGCAAAATTTTGGTATGTGCGAGCAGTGCCACTGAATTCATACAAACCTCTTAGAATCTCTTTCAGATTTTTTTTTTCTTAGAGGGGAGCCTATGTGCAGTAAAAAGAACGACAGTTGTCCAGATGTTGGCAGCTATGTTGGGGTATTAACAAAGAAGGAGTCAGAGCAGAGATGTGCTGTTTCACTTCCCCCAGTGTTTATTTTTAACTTGGCTGTTTACCTTTCAGTATCTCCCACACATCTGTAATTTCTTTCACTTGGCTACAGCACAATCTGTTGAGACAAAGAGATCAGATAAGAGATCAGATGAAGACTATCATGTAACATATGAAAGTGGTATTACTAAACAATTGCTCCTCCCTAGCAACCGTGGCAAGCTTCTTAGACGCACTTAACAGGTTTATCCCGTGAAAAAACCATGTAGTCATAGCTGGCTCATCAGGTGTACCTCAGTAACATTCATCTGAAGCTCTACGGATCTGTGAAGTTATTTATCCTAATTGAACATAAAAAAAACTAGAGGGAGCAGTTTCCACAAATACTGTTGAGAGTATTTCCCCTTTTCTATACAAATCCCTGGATTATTATAGTCCCATTACCAATTTATGCCTGTCATGCCAAAAACAAAGATAGACCTGTAAGCTTTGAGTAGAAATTCTCTTCTTCCTCGCCACGTTGCCATGCAGATCATCATTCTGCAAGTTCACAGCTGTGTAACTTTAACAAAGGAAGTTCTATCATCTTCACTGTGACTCTGTGCATGCACACAGTAAATTAGCTTTGTAGTGTACAGATGAATCACTTGGGAACTAACTGCATTGATGTGAACTAACATGCTTTCTTTTTGCAATAGTTCAATAGTTCAATCAAAAAATGGTCAGTTGCTATAGGTGATCCAGCTGGTATTCCCTTATTGTGCCACTGACTACTCTGTAATTCCAGATTAGAGATCAAAATTAATTTCCTGTGGTGTAAGAGTCTTCACTGCCTATGAAGATCACTCAGCTTATTTTTGTTCTTGCTTTAAACAGAACTTCACAGGTAATATTTACATAGGATGAGATTTGCAATAGTTGAATAACTGGAAGCCCCAGCTATATTTTGCAAATATAGTTTTCAGAAGTAGAGCATAAAATATTTTCTCTGCCTTCTATCCAAGAGTTCTTATAATGAAGTTCCAGTGATGTTCTTGTTTGTTTGTTTGTTTTTTCCCTAGGAAAATTTCAATTAAGAAGAAAACAGATGACCATTTGGGAAACAGACAAAGGAGCGGTAGTGAAAATCAGGGATACATTCCAGAGGAACCACGTTACACAAGACAAATCCCAAGTGAGTGAATTGCTTATGCCTCTCAACAAAGGCATTTTGGGCAACAAGTCATGCAATTAAATTATAAGATTTCACAGCACCTCATTAAGGATTTGTGAGACACATGAGTGGTTATTGAGGGGGACTGAGAACTAGCTGAGTGGCAGAGCTAGAGTGTTGTGATTACAGGCACAGAGTCTAATGGAGGCCTGTAACTAGCAGTGCTTCCCAGGGGTTGGTACTAAGTCTGGTCTTGTTTGATATCATCATCAGTGATGTGGACAAAGGGGTTGAGGTCACCCTCAGCGAGTTTGCTGATGATACAGAGCAGGAAGGAGTGGTTGGTATGCTGGAAGGCTGTACTGCCATTCAGCAAGACCAAGACAGACTGGAGAGTTGGACAGAGAGGAACCTGATGAACTTCAACATGAGCAAGTATAGGGGCCTGCGCCTGGGAAGTCATACACCACATGCATCAGGAACAGATCAGGGGGAATGAGCTATGAGGAGAAGAACCTGAGTGTCCTAGTGGGCAACAGGTTGGCCATGAGCCAGCAGTGTGCAACGGCCAAGAAGGATAATTGAATTCTGGGGTGCATTAAAAAAATGGCCAGCAGGTTGAGGGTGGTGGTCCTCCCTCTCTACTCTGCCCTAGGGAGGCCACATCTGGAGTACTGTGTCCAGTTCCTGGTTCCACAGTTCAAGTGAGTGAGAGATTTCCTAGAGAGTCTAGCGGAGAGTGACAGAGATGATGAGAGATCTGGAGTGTCTCCTGCATGAGGAGATGCTGGGCTGTTCAGTTTGGAGAAGAGAAGGCTGAGAGAGGATCTTATCGTTGCTTATAAATATCTGAAGTGCAGGAATCAAGTTGATGGGGGCAGGCACTTTTCAGTGGCATCCAACCACACAAGGGGCAACAGGCACAAACTGCAACATAGAAAGTTCCACACAAACATGAGGAAAAACTTGTTTACTTTGAGAGTGACAGAGCACAGGAAAAGGCTGCCCAGAAAGGTTGTGGAGTCTCCTGCTCTGGAGATATCCTGTACCTGCATGGACACTAACCTAGGGAACCTACTTGAGCAGTGGGGTTGGACTAGGTGATCTCCAGAGGTCCCTTCTAACCCCTGTGATTCTGTAATTGTGTGATTATGTAATAATCAATGTAAACAACACTTTGCACATTTGAAAGAAAAACAAAACACAGAATAAAAACAAAATAAAGACGAGAGAAATAAAAAAAAAATTCACAGGGAACACAGCAGACATGACATAGTTTTGATGTTCTTTTTCTTCAGTTACTTCTAGGACTTGTGCTGCATTTCTAAGTAAATCTGATCCTTTGAAGGTTTTAATTCATCTATAGGTTTGGGGTTTTTGTTTTTGTTTTTTAAGGTTTTTTGTCCATATCTTTTTTGTTATCTATGTAGCTGAACAATGGCCATATTTTTATTCATTCAATAAATTATTGCAATACCAATTTATGTAACATTGTAGTTAAAAATATTCCCTTTGGTAATGATATTTCAGGATAGCATACCAATATCCTCAATATGCTCTCAGTGTTCACATTTGGGGGATTATACAGCCATGGATGAGAGAAAATGTATCCATTAGTTTTTGAGTATCCTTACAGGCTGTCTCCTGCAGGTTTTCCATGTGATAGAGAATGGAGGTCTTTACGTTCATCTTTCCTCCCAGTCTTTTCCTAAGGAGTCTTCATCCCAAGTAATTCCATGAAAAAGAGAGACAATGAAGCCTGACTTCCAGTCTCACCTGTTGACATGAAAGCCCTTGAACATGACAAACGTCTTGAGACCACCCAATAAGTTCAAATGCTACTGAGTTACTGACATGGGTGCAGATGCACAGTCACCGTGAACATGAACTTATTCTTATAATCTTATTCATGTCCCTAAGAAAGCAGACTTAGAGTTACGTTTCACAGCGATGGCTCTTACAAATTTTATTAGTGTGTGGCCTCTTTGAAATGGTTACTGCACAGTGATTGCAGAGCAGCGACAGGGTAGAACAACAACAGCTACAGGAACAGAGGTTGGAAAAAGTCCAGTTTTTAAACTCCGTATTTTCCATAAGAAAGCATGGTTGAGCAACCATCCTTTACCGTCCTTTTCCTCACATTGCTGACTTCGTTAGTAAAAATATGCTAGTGAATTATGATTCTACTGGTAGATGACTGAGGCATTGTAAATTCTGGTCCTTAAGCACAAAGTCTTTTCAAAATCAAAAATAAAACTCCACCAAATCTTTACCCAGCATTTGCATTTAGAACCACATAATTATCAAAACATTTAATCAGACATTTAATGACAAAATTACCATGTAGAATCTATAATCCAGGCATACACCTTTGTCTCTCTAACAAATACATTATGAAGAAATAAGTACAGTGGAAAGATTTCAAGAGCACATGGTATTGTTAAATGCAGAAGTTACAAGATAAGTAAATACAAGGAAAATTAAATCAAAACTAGTCAAATTGATTCTGCTGTTTGTGGTTTGTACCATGATGGATGTTGATAACAGTAATCTTGTATATTTTTATTACAGCAGTTGTTTCTCTTCCTCCAATGTCTACAAAGTTCACTGTCCCTCGTCCAGATTTAAGTACCAGCTCTGCACCAAAGGTAATTGTTGTGCTGGTATCTTGATTTTTTTTTATATTTTATTTTTTTCATACAGTGGGTATTGTACTGTATGCAAACATGGATTTGGGGTGGAAGTAGATGTTTAAAAGTCAATTAAAATTTTAATTAGATAAGTAGAATGATCCCGTAAACATTCATGACTCTTGCTTATAACCACACATGCCTCTGGTGTTAGTCTTGCATTTAGATAGATTTACTGGGGATTGGGAGGTCGGGAAGAAACAGACACCCCTGATATTTGAAAGAAATTTCTAATAAAAAATTAAAAGCTTTAGTTGCCATCTTTTCAGTTCAGATCCCTGCCATGGTTTTCTTCCCACCTCCCATGCTAGAGTTAGAGTTGCAGTCTGCTCCTCCTCAGATGTCTGCTTTTTGCTTTGCTTTGCTTCTCATATTTTTCTTCCTCCAAACACCAGCAAGGCCTTTCTCCCAGCACAGTGGGTAACCCTGAGTAGGGTGAACTTGCCACAGGAAAAGATAATTGTCTTCTCATCACTCCCAAGATCAAATGGTCGTTTCCTCTCTCAACATCCCGTTTATACCACTAATTAAATCTTTCAGATGTGCCAGGCAGAAAAGCTCTGGCTCAGCTCTTCAGAATTAACCTCTACATATACAGTATGTTAACCCATTATAATGCAAAGATGTTTTCTATTTCTGGATGTATGAAGATGCTGCACAGTTGCTAGACATGTGCTGTCACAAAAGTAGACGCCTGCAGTTTTTTTTTTCCCAGGTGCCAGACCTGAGGAAGTGTGGATATGAGATGGAGGCACAGATGAATGTGAGGCTTGATGTTCCTTTGTAAACAAAATCCAGTGCAGATTTTTCACTGAGAGGGCAGTGAGGCACTGGAACCGACTGCCCAGAGAAGTTGTGGATGCCCATTCCTTAGAGAGGTTCAAGGATGGGCCCTGAGCAGCCTGATTTAGTGGCTGGCAATCCTCCCTGTCTGTGGCAGGGATGTTGGAACTAGATGATCTTTGAGGTCCCTTCGAACCCAAACAATTCTGTGATAACACTGGTGCTTTTTCTCTAGATAATTTCATGGTTGATTTTCCAATTGCATTTCCATACTGCAGAAGTTTCTTCAGTCAAGAGCTTTGCAACCATTTTAGATGCCTTTGGTATCTCAGCAGTGAATGCTGGAAGGGGAAGCAAAGAACTAACATTTGGTCCACTCTCATGTGTAGTCCCCTTTCCACATTGCTAAAAGCATAAATAAAAGAGAGTTTAGTGTTTCCTTCACTTCAGTTCTCAGCTGCCACTATTGTGAAGCATAGTGTTGGGCTCTCAGCAACACGAATCACAATTTGTGCTCTAGATTTGTAAAAGATTTTACATCTTTGTGATATTTTTTTGCCAGTGTTCTCTTGTGAATGTAGCAGTGATGTGATACCAAGTTCACGATTCAACACAGTGATAACTTATTTATTTTTGAAGATATGTTTCAACATGTGCAATGCAGAAATCTGTCTTGAGATGACACTGTATATAAATCATAGCAGAATATGTTTAGTTCTTGCAACACACAATGAAATTTAGGAAGTACTCAAGCCATGATTAAAACAATGATCAAAATAATAACGGTAAAAATAGGAATGATAATGATGTGTCTGTGGCTGGTAGCTATCATGTTTGACATTAATTACTTGTTAAACAAAATACTATTAATGCAAAGCTGAAAAGCACGTACAAAACAGCTGAGAATTGAAACACAAAACTGAAATACAAACATAGATACAGGCCTCCATGTCAGATGCTAGATTAGATAGTCTTGGAGATCCTTTGCAGCTCAGTGGTTAGGAAAACATCAAAATCCATCAGAGGGACTTAGCATACAGTTTTTGTTTAACCACTTGTACCTGGACAGTACATGGTATAAGTCTGCTAAGGTGGCTTCTACTTGCATCAGTAATTGCATGTATACTTTGAAAAATATCGAGAGAATCTACAGATGAAAATTATATTATGAAAATATATTTTTTAATATGTTGGAGGAATGTTTAGCAGTCTGAAACTGGCTTGTGAAGACAAATTGCTTCTCAGCTTGAACAGAGCTTCTCAGTATATAGTGGTGGCACCATCTTGTGTATACAGGAGTTGATAAAGCAAATATCGCTTGATGAAAGTTTACCTTAAATTGTGGATTTGCAGTCCATGATTTAGGTTTATGTGACTATATACAAACATAGTGAAACATTTCCTAGACAAAATAAAGTTTTCTTTTTTTCTTCTTTTACATACATAACCTTCCCTGTTAACTGCAAAGTAGACATTTTCTGACAGAGTTGAGTTACTGGATGCATTAACAAAGTTCAATCACCACTGTAGCCAATGTGTTGCATAATAAATGCTGTGGTGCTCTTTCCTTATAATACAATCCTTGTCAAGTGGAAGAAACCAGATGGCAAGCCATTTAACTGCTGATTAGCTGCGTTTTTCAGTTCCCTATATGGATTCTGGAACATTCCCAAAGGTTTTTCTTCTTTTCATCTTTATGTTTTTCTTTATTTTTGAATGAGAAATAGAGCCAGGGAGCAATAGAAGGAAAAGTAGTTATCCAGAAAATTTTTTCCACAGTCAAGGAGATCATAAAGAGATGGACTCTGCAAGTCGCCTCACTCTCTAGGTAATAGGAAAAAGGAGCAAACATGTATGTGGTGGTAAAGAAACCAGGTTCTTTTCCAGAGCAAGGTGGGGAGAAAACACAGGAACCAGCTGTTGATGAAAGGAGTCGTGGAGACTGAGAACCTAAGGCCTCATCTCTCCCTCTTTATGAAATAAAAAAAAATTTAAGATTTTTGTGGCTGTCTTCCTTGACACCTTATGTGATCAAGATTAACCCCAGTAATAAGGTCAGAAAATAAGACCAAACGGGAAAATTATGAATGGAGAGTTTTAAAATTAGAAAGAAGCTCATGGATGTGTTGACAAAATAGAAAGCAGAGCAATCATAGTGAATGAAGGTTATTCAACCTAGTATTTTGAATGGGCAAAGGTGAACATACCTGCTGCATGGCGCATTTCCCTCACTGCCAGGAGAAAACAAGATGGAAACTTTGATTATATAAGCTTCACCTAATGCCTCCGTGGGCTGGAGGCATTAGGAAGTCTTCCTGGGTCTCTGAGGGCATCAGCTTCGAATTTGGTACCTTCTGTTCCATATGTAAAAAGGTACTATTTTAAATGATTGAGATATTAAGGGAGCACTTCTATCAGAAATGCCTCAGAAGTCCTTGCCCATTGGCCCAACCTCGTACAGAGCTTGAAATATGCTGGGTGTCACAGTAAAAGGTGGCAAGAAAAATTCACTTAGATCAGCTATTCTCTGTTCAAACTCACTGAATCAGATACTAAAGCAAAATGTTCATGGAAGATAAATGTTGTCCAGTAATTGCACTGATAAATTTGCAACATGAACAAAAGTTCTGGCAAGTCACCCTACGGAAAAATAATAGCGAAGAAGAAGGGAAGGAAAAAAAGATGTGCAAGACATTTAAAAAATGATGAATATTGAACTAAATTATTGAGCTGAAGAAAAAATTACCAGCTACTGGAAGAGAAGGCCAGGAGTATAAGTCAAGAGGTGCTGGAAGGTCTCCATTCTGATTACATTAGCCAGGAAAAGGTCAAATGGAGAGTAGAGTTACAGGCTTCTGTTTAATTGCCTATTTTGTCACCGTCAGCAATGGCAGGAGAGCAATCCTTGCTCCTAGTCCCAAGAGGGCTGATCTGCAGACCAAGTGCCCAGAGAGCTGTTTCACGTGCCCCGACTCATTATGCAGAGCTCCTTCTGAAACCCAGGTTCAGTGAGGGAGATCCCTTAACCTGGCTCTAGCATATTTTGCAGTGATACCATGGACACTTGTGCTTTAGCAAGGGCATAGGGCCATTTCTGAGGAACTACATTTTTGCGAATCCTACTGCTAGAAAAAGAAATCTAAGGACCATCTTGCAGGACCAGAGAACCTCCTATACAAGCTTCATAATTAGTCCATTTAATATGGCATAAATGTCTCTATGATAAATCAGAAGACCATCTTGTAAAAAGGAGCGCTCATTTATAGTGAGACAGATTCATCCCTGGTATAATTCAGCTAACTTCAGCAGAGCCATGCAAGGCTTGGATTTACCACCACAGCCACACTCTTCCTCTCCAGTCCAGAGTGAGTCACCACTGTTAATGGAGACAGATCTATTTTTCTCCGTAGCTACTCCAAATGATACTTTATAAACTGGAAATATTATTTGGTTGTGGTTGTGGTTTTATACCAGAGAGGAAATGAGTGATGGATTGTAGCTACATTTATTGCTCTGTATATAACCACTCTGACTCTGTGGATTGTTTCAGAAGAAAAATTAAACTATCAAAATCAAATTAAAAGGCCAATAAAGTAGAAATATAAATGAATGACAGCAAATAATTTTTCCCTTACTGATGAAACATACTATAGAGTATGCCATGTTATAATATTCATTGGGCAGCATGTCTTGATTAAGAGACTGATAAATATTGATGATACAGATGCAGAAAGGCAGGTGCAGCTTATAGATTAAAGTATATTTTTTCCAAGTGTCTGTGAAAGAAGGAAAGGAGTGAAGTTACGTGGGTGGGATTAATACAAAAAGAAATAAGAAGGAATTGCCAGTTTGTGTGTCTGTTGATGGACAGGGAACTGTGCTGAGTGTACTAAAAGTTGACAAGATGGAACTGCTTTGCTATTTGAAGCAATGCTTTATCTGAAATGTTGTGAGGGTATCCATAGTTTTTGGGTGGGTGTTTTCCTGTAAATGAAGTGAGTTTGGAAAGAGAATTAAAAACTGAGGGAAGGGGGAGAAATAACCTCGAGAAACAGAGAACTATGCCTCCATGGTTTTTTGTTCTAGCAGCAGAACGTGTGATGCATGCAGATACATTTGGAAGTACTCCTACTACACTAATTTCAGCAATTTGTTCTAATGCAGTTTGACTTGGATTTTTTTGGCTAGCTAATAGCAGGCAAAGCCTTCAGCTTGTCACGCAGTTCTACAGTGTCAGTATCGGAGGAGCTGCCTTCTGTCAAATCAATTTAGAGATCGGAGCCTCTGTTTCATAATGCCAGATGTGAGTTCATCATTCATATCACTGATGTCATATGGGCTGCAGAACTGACTACAACATGCTTGCAATAGCAGAAGTCCTTCTTTCATTAACTGAGCATTGTTATCCAAAACACCACTCAAAGATTCAATCCTGAAATCAGCTGGTACACACACTCATGTTGCCTTCTGATTCATCTGCCTATTGCTGGCTCTTTTTGTTTGGTTGAGGAGCTGAAAGAGGTGAAAAGATCTGGGAATCTGTTTCCTCAGTCAAACCAACAAGCTATGCAACCCTTTTCCCAGTATAATACTGCCTTTACAGTAATCCCTGTAAAAATGTATCCAAGGCAGATAGGCAGTCAGCATACAGGTTTTGAAATGTGTGACTGTCAAATGTCCATCATTAGCTAGACACCCAGCTGAGAGTATAGTCTCCAAACTATATAAAGGAAATGCTGATGATGTTCTGTTCTGACTGAGAATCAGTGTTAGAAACTTGCTCCTGTAACATGGGGCTGTGCAGCATACCACTAAAACGATGTTTTTTTCTTGAACAAGTAGGATGTAATTAATAATAAAGCTTTTTTTTTTTTTTTTTTGGATTAGTGCTGATGGGACTAGTAGAGCACTGGATTAGTCTGAAGAAGAAACAACTTTGAAATCAAAATCAAGTAGATGCTCTAGCAACTGTAGCATATCAGAGTTTAAATATGAAATGGCTATTGTGATACTAGTCTCTGCATTTTGTATTTGTAATGTGTTGCATTTGAGACCTTCTGCATCATCAGAAAATGAAGTTCAGGTCAGTGAACCAGCAGCCTCAGTGTCACTGAAGTTATATACAGCTTACTGCAACCTCCATGAGGCAATGCTGCTTCAGAGAAGGCTTCATAGAAAATGGGCCAGTACACAGCATGAATTTATTGAAATTCAGAAAATTATTCTTAATTGATATCAGAGCATAGTGAGAATAAAATGTAGGATACTCAGGGAATTTGCTGTAAAGCAAAAAGCTATGAAAGATGCAGAAGGGCAGAGGGGGACCTGGTCAATCATGGCCACAGTACCCACTCCAGAAGTAAACTTAGTCCTTGGTTTCTACTTTGCTAGAGAGGAGAAATAGCATTATGAGGCAGGGGTTGTGTGACACATTCTTGCAGGTAAAATTTTTAGGGCAAAAGAGGCATGCAGGGGCTACATTTTCCCCAGTGGTGTTAGGGAAGAATAGTGCAGTTTAGATCCAGCTGGCGTGAGTCCTCTGGCTCCTTCCTGTTCAAAAGCAGATGCAAACCAAGATCTTCCATAGTATGGCCATGAATATTGCTTCTTTTGGTAGCATTACCTAGTGAGCTTTCTGATTAATCATAGAAACATAACAGTTAGAAAAAACACTAAGATCATCTAGTCCAACCATCAGCCCATTACCACCATGTTTTATTTTATTTTTACTAAATAAGTGTTCAGCCACAAATGGAGCAAATTTCATCACATATTAATCTCCTGGGCAGCACAGTCCAGAAGAAACTTCTTATGTGCTCTGGAAATGAATGAACAATGTCTGTGTTGAACTCCACCAAGGTCTTTGGGCTATTGCAGATCTGCAAGAAATTAATAGCGGTAGAGACAGGCAGTGCTTTTACTTCATAGACGCATGGATCGGAGAATGACTTGGGTTGGAAGAGACCTCAAGGATCATCAAGTTCCAATCCCCCTGTTGCAGGCAAAGTTGCCAATTGCTAGATCAAATACTAGATCATGGTGTTCAGGGCCCCATCCAACCTGGCCTTACACAACTCCAGGAATGGGGCATGACTCTTAGTGAAAAACTTCCCCTGACATCTAATCTAAATCTTCCCTCTCTTAGTTTAAAACCACTCCCTTTTGTCCTATCATGATCTACCCAAGTATAAAGTTCATTTCCTTCCTGTTTATAATCTCCCTATAAATATTTGGAGGCTGCAATGAGGTCTCCCTGCTGCCTTCTCTTTTCCAGGCTAAACAAGCCCAGTTCCTTCAGCCTATCTTCCTAGGAGAGATGCTTCAGCTCTTGGATCATTTTTGTTCCCACCTCTAGACCCTCTCCAAAAAACTACACATCTTTTCTATGAAGGGAGCCACAGGCCTGGATGCAGTACTCCATATGAGGCCTAACAAGGGCATGTAGAAGGAGACAATCACCTCCCTCATCCTGTTGGCTACTTCTCTTGTGATGCAGCCCAGGATACCGTTGACCTTGCAGGCTGCAAACACACACTACTGGCTCATGTTAAGTTTTTCATCTACCATGACCCCTAAGTCCTCCTCAGCAGGACTGTTCTCAAGGAGTTCTTCTCCCAGTCTGTATACATATCTTGGATTACCTCAACTGAAGTACAAAACCTTGCACTTTGCTTTTTTGAACTCCATTATGTTCACATGGCTACACCTATTGAGTTTATAAAGGTCCCTCTGGATGACATCCCTTTCTTCCACTGCATCACTTAGCTTGGTGTCATCACAAACTTGCTAAGGATGTACTCAATCTCATCATCTATATCGTTGATAAAGATGTTAAAGAGTACTGGCTCCAAGACAGACCTCTGGGGAACACCACTCCTCACCTGCCTCCTTATGGACATAGAGCCACTGACCTCAACCCTCTGGCTATGACCTTTCAACAGTTCCTTATCCAGCGAATAGTCCACCCTTCAAATCTGTCTCTCTCCAATTTAGAGACAAGGATGTAGTGAATGATCATGTCAAGGGCCTTGCAGAAGTCCAGGTAGATGATATTAGTTGCTTTCCCCTTGTCCACCGATGCCATCACTGCATCTTAGTAGGCCTCCAAATTGGTCAGGCACCATCTTCCCTCAGTGAAGTAATGCTGGCTGTCTTGGATCACCTGCTCATCCCTCACTGCTTTAGCGTGTCTTCCAGAAGGATCTGTTCCATGATCTTTCCAGGCAGCAGAGATGAGGCTCACCGGCCAGTAGTGCCTCGGCTTCTCCTTCCTCCCTTTCATACAAATGGCAGTGGTTTCCCTTTTTTCCATCACTGAGGACTTCTCCCAGCAGTCAAGACTTTTCAAATGTGATGGAGAGCAGCTAGGCAACCACATCAGCCAGTTCCTTCAGGACCATGGGATGCATGTCATCTGGTGCCATAAACTTACCAGTCTCATGAGTCAGTCTTGGACTTGCTCCACCCTTACAGTGGTGAGCAGTTTGCACCCCAGTTCTCACCAACAGCTTAAGGGATGTGAAGAATATGAGAATCCTGGCAGATAGTTCCCAGAGCACCACTACTCACTTCTGAAATAAACAAAGCAAAAAAGGGTAAATTTGGGAAATAGCAGTATGCTCTAGCAACAGATAAAGAGGAGAGAAAGGGGGTGAATAGTGTTGTGTTTCAAACAGAAGGCAGCTGTCCTATGAAATGTTTCTAGGGTAGTTATATTTATCCCATGGTTTTCCTTGAGGTACTTGGTCTCATTAAATATCAGAAAAACACTGTCCACATTTGTTATCTAACATTTTCTTCTGTGGCTTGTTTAATAATATATAGGTACCAAATTCATTATTCAAGATACTTAGTACTGGAAGAAAACCAAAGCAATACAAGCTGTGCCTGATTAGTGTTTGAGAAAAAAGTATACGAAATTCAGTCAATAGCTGGAAAAAGCTTAGGGTTCATAAAAATTTTCATTGAGAAGAACAGTGGAATTTCCATTAATGCCTGCACCAGCTGGGGACATTGCAAGGAACAGTAGCCATTAGATTGCATCTTCTTGGAGGAAAACGAAACCAACACCGGAGCTAGGCCCAGCAAATCATTTAATTGTATTGCTTCTTTTGGGAAGGTATCTAAAGATAAAGATTAACAACTTTGTAAGTCATTTTCACTCCTTAGAAGTACTTTATAATTGCCTGTGTGAGATCGCACTACCACATTTAAATATTCATAGCACACATTTCTTGAATGCATTTAAGAATAAATTTTATTATTTTCCTCTGCAAGGATATTCATAAAAGTACATAAGTAATTAGGACTGCAAATCCACAGCACCAGTTTCAAATGATGACAAGGTTTTCAAATCTGCCAAGCGCTTGCCTTGCTCTGATCCCACTGGGGTCAGTTTGGAAACACGCTGGTGTCAGTGGGAGTGGAATTGTGCCAGTCATGGGAACTTAAAAAAAAGGCCAACCTGGAATAAACATGAAGATGTTGAGAATGGCATTTCTGACACGTGAACGACTAGCATGCTTCTTGGTGCAATTTCCAGTGTACTAGGAAAACAATATCAGAAGTTAAGCATTTATTACAACTTATGGGGTATTTTCTTTAAGAAAACACCATCTTCTGCTTAAAAGAATACAGAATGCAGAATACACAAGAACTTCTCAGATAGCATAAGACCAATTAACAAATTCCCAGTAATGCCAATAGTGCATTGCATATTAGGCTGTTCCTTCTGTTCTTTGTAATTAGATTTTGAGTGGGTTGCTGATGATGGATTTAATTTTGGCATAATGCTTTGCGGTGGGTGGTGGCAGGTAACCTCCTGAGGACCCTTGAGTGACTGCTTTTCTAAGACTTTTAGTTCTCTAACTGCTTTTTATTCTGCTCTAGGGACGACCTCAAAGAGATACCGATTATCCAATCAACCCAAAGAAAATTAGAAATGTGACACATGTTTAGGATGGACTTCTGAAAATTCTTAACCTGAGTTGCATTTCATGCTTCCTGCCACAGGGAAAAGTCACCACCAGTTCTCTCAATTTAAGCTATAAGTTATTATTGTTTTTGTTTATTTCTCTTGTTATTAAATAAAATTGCAACCTTTACAATACAATGTAGTATTTGACAGCTCAGCAAAATAATGGATGCAAATGACTACCTTAAATTCAGAGGCAGCAAGTATGATGAGAATCTAAAAGAACAAGAATGTATCGTTTTGATTTCAAGAAAATCAACAGAACTCCTACCAGCCAGAAATGTCCAACTATCCATGGCGAGGTGAAGGACTGGAATTTAATTTTGGCATAATGCTTTGCGGTGGGTGGTGGCAGGACCTCCTGAGGACCCTTGAGTGACTGCTGGTGATGAAGTAGTTCAGAGGAACTGGTTAATAGTCATACTGGTTAATGCAATATCTACTGCATTTTAAAAAAAATACAGCTGATTATCTCAAGATCATAGTACTTTTCAATTTATGTTCTGTAATAAAATCAAGGGGAGCTTTGACAGAAAGCAAAAATCTTAAGCTGAAAAATGTGGATAAAATGACTGATTTTTAAAAGCTGCTGCTTCAGTGCTTAATGTCTCTGATCTACTTGGGACTGAATTTGACAGCTAAATAATGTGGATCACAGTAAAGGATGGCTGATGGTGTTCACCCTGTTGTTCCATTATGGATAAAGTTGATAATGACCAGAAGAAACACATTTTAGCTGAGCAACCCATCCAATGGATCAGGTCCTGCAGAAGGACCTTACATATGCCTTCTCAATCTAAAAAGTACACTTTCTACCTGGAGTGTTTTTTGTGAAATTCGGTATTTCATAAAAGAAATGCTTAAGCAATTTTATTTTTATACAAAGGCAAACTTTTTCCATTGGACTTGTCTTTTTGCCCACTCAAAGCATTCTGAACTTCAGTGTTTCAGTATTCAGTGTTTTGCATGTTAATTTTCTGCATGAACCTTTGCAGGTGATCTTTGAGTAAAGAAGCTGTTGCACAGAAGTACTTTCAGTGTTAATCAGTGCAATGAAAATAAGAAATTTTAAACTTGATCTCAGGAAAAAAAATATATTGTTTTGTTTGTTTAGCATTTAGGATCTCATTAAATTGTGACAGATTTTGCATTGCTGGTCATATTTCCAGTCAGTCTGTCAGAACAAGTTCTGGGACTAATTCATCTTCTGCCATATGTAATTGTATACATAGCTCTTTCAGATTCTGGCCGCCTCCACTCTTTCTGTCTTGTCTGGTTGAAGGAGGAGCTTTGAAATGCATTCTCTTTGAATGGAATTGTAGCAAAAGCATGTAAATAACTATAGTGTTATACAGACAAAATATAATTTGTGAAAATATAAGTATTTGTGGAATATCTGCATTTATTCTTTGAATAACCATGCATTGGGAGAAAGATCTGCATTATTCTGGTATGAGTATTGGTACTGCTGACATCTCCTAGTTGATAATACAGCTCAATGCAACCTGAAAACCAATAAAAATCCACTTTATTACAGAAATGACCACTGCACAAAACAAATAGGCTGAGGGTAACATCAGCCTGTGCCTTTGGGTAAAAGCCAAGGACCTTTGGCTTTCTGAGCACATGCATGGTTAGCAAGTCTACTCTCATGAGAAGAGTAACCTTGCAGTACAAAAATGAAAACTGGTTGGGAAGCATTTGTTTCTTTGCAGAAAATGTGTATTAATCAGAACGCATTTTGAAAATGAATCAAACTGTACTGTGTTGTTTATCTCAGAACCCTTGCTCTCAAGCTTAGCGTTGTTATTATTTGGTATCACTGTCCTTGAACCAAAGAAAACCTTTTCTACATTTAATCTGTATCCTTCCACATTAATTTAAAAAAAGAAAAAGAAAAAGAAAAAGTGTTTGTGTTGAGGACG